TCACTTCTCTCCTTGGACTTGGGTGATAGGTCCTATGTCACGCTTTGTGAGGACTCTTCGGTTTCTCTTTTCTGATGCATTCCCTAGAATTTTTCATCTTTTTAAAAAGCACAATGCTTCTATATTCAGTTTTATTCTTCATCTCATTCTAGTTTTTCTTGGAGTTTTGATTCTTTTCTGACTTACTTGACAGGGAATTCTCTGAATTGCAATATCCTGGCCTTATTGAAATAGGTCCTCTTCAAATCTAGACTAGAGGGTTGTGTCTGTTGACACCTCATGTTCCTTTTCTTGCAAAACTTATTTCCAGTTTTCATTTCATCTCCCAAAATTATTCTTTCATTTTGGATGAGCCAATTTGGTAATCAATTGCTCTCTCAAAAGGTTGAATTTTTTGTTCAAGTTCAAAGATGTCTAACTGCTTCAACTCCTTATTATTGTGTTATGTTTAGATTTAGCTCTGAAAACACTTCTCATTTGTTTTTGTATTGCTCAGCATTTCCTCTCCTTTGGAATAATTTGCATGGTGTGGTTGGGTATGAAGTACTTTTACTCTATCTGTATTGTTCGTATCTTTTGTAATATGTAAAGCAGTAGTATAGCTTGTAATTGTTTTGTTATAACAACTGTTTGGCGGCTGCACTTAACTGTTGACAACTGTGCTTACAACAAAATTTCAGCTAGCTGTAAAATAGTTAGATTAGCTGAAACCTGTCTCTGCCATATATAAGCTCTCAGTTGTATCTTTTCAGTTCAGTTGAATAATGATGATTTTCTTACAAATAGTTTTACAAGTTCTATCCGATTCTAATATGGTATTCAGAGCTTAGGTTCAAACCCTAGGGTTCTTTCATGGCTTCAACATTCCTCCTACTAGAACTGCTGTTGGCTGTAAATGTGTTTTTTGGGTAAAAGAAAACTATGATGGGTAAATAAACAAAGACGAAGCTGGGCTTTTCAACTACAAGGATTTGACTACAATGAGACTTCTTCAGTTATCAAAAAGTCTGATTGTGAGACTTATTCTCTCTATATTGTTCTCACTAATAAAGTAGCCTCTTCAGCAACTTGATATAAACAATAATTCTTGATGAGGGCATGGATCAAGGAGAACCAATGCAAGGAGGAGAAGCATCCAAGAATACCCTCAACCTAGCTTAAAATGAGACTCACCTCAACCTTGACCCATCTTGGAGCTTATCAGTTCTTAAATGGTGAACTGGAAGAATTTTATATGACTCAAAACCCTGGATTTGAGGACTCAAAGAAGAAAATGTTTGCAAGATGAATAAGCAATCAATATTCATTGCATTCCTTGCTAATAAGGAGTAAAATCATATTCCTCTATTTCTAGGCATACAGAGCTGTATTGGTGACTTGAATTCCTTTAGTATTATTATCTAAGTCTAATCTTGAATAAATCTGATTACTGTTTCAAATTCAATTTCGTCTTTTTCTCAACCTTATAGTATAGACCTAAATACAAGAGTCTCTATCTGTTTAACCATTTGACTGCTTCATTTTATAATTAATTCAATATGATTGAACACTTTCACTTAATATCATTAGAATGGAAAGGCAACGCCGAGAAGAGGAGCTAAAGAACCGGTCATCCAAAAAGGCACTTGATGCAGAACAGTCAATTCTAAATAGGGTGAGGAACAATACAGTTTGAAAATGTACATACATGAATTTGTTATACATGATATAGATGTTTGAATTTTGGTTTATGTTCTGTTTTCTTTTCTAGGCAACTAGTCCTCAAACAAGTCAACAAAGTGGGGGAAACTTAAAATCAATGAAAGAGAAATCCAGTCATCAAGACAAGGATACACAAGAGGGGTCTGGCTTGAAGACTGCTGGGCCTGAAGGGGAGATAACAGCAGGTTTTTATTATTCATCCAAAATTTGTATTCCAGTTCTAATATCATAGGTCTCTGCTGAGTCTCTTGTGCCGCTCCATAATTGAAGTATTGACTTGGTTGCTTCCTTTTTTCCTATCCTAGATCCAGAGATTCAGTATTTTCCTTACTCAAAATAAATACCTCCATTTTCTTACTGTTCACCCTCCTTATCGAATAGGACTTGCAGCTGTTGGATTTTGTCAAATATTGTTTGGTGCATCTTGCTTGTGGCTGATTTTTTAATCACTAAATTGATGATGCACAAGTAGTACAGTACACGATCATTTAAAAAGACAGCCTCACTAAAGAGAAAAAATCAAGGATTCTTTTCCATTTCCCCCAACTTTATAAATAATTAATAGACAAACATTAAATTATCTTATGTATTCCAATTACGTCATTACAGGTAACCATGCCATTGTTTGATCTGTAAAGTTAACCCTACCCAGTTGTTGTTGGTGGATATCAACATATGTTAAGCTTTTAATGTAATTTTTAACAGTAGCTATTCATTACTGTAGAGTATTCATTTAATCCGAGGACAACAACAATTTCTATACCTTTCTTTTAGGGCCTGCTGTCTCCTGTCTTTTACCACTCACCAAAGGAAGGAATTGAATGTTTCTTAGTTTACACTGAATTGATTTTCATCTCTTGGTGCAGGATATTTGTTGAAAAAAAGCGGAAAAGGTAGTGGCTGGAGCAGAAGATGGTTTGTTTTAAATGAGAAGACTGGCAAGGTTAGTAAATTGTCTCGTTCAATGCTGAATGACACGCATCAAGACTGCTCTGGACCTTCTGGTTTAAACACTTGAGTGTTGAAGCCTTGTAGGCTGTAGCTGCAGAGAATTTTTTATATGGATAAAAACTTCTTCGGTGAAATTGAAAATGATATTTTGCGAACAACTCTTAGTGTACCTTTTGGTTATTGACATTCCCAGTAATTGACATATTTTTAAGCATTTGTAAAATGTGATGAAATATGGCCCATTTATATTATGATTAGAGAAACCTTCATTTTCAAGTATTAAAACTGATAAGGCATGCTATATGTTACTATAACCAAAGTCCCTCATCTATATTTTTAAGTTGTTATATTATTTGTTTGTATTGGGAAAAACCAAAGTCCCTCATCTACTAAAGAGAGTGTCAAAATACAGTACATAAGTGGGGACAATTCTTTTCTTACAAGTTGGTATAGGGTTGACTTAGACTTGGATCCACTTTGTTAGACGGTATCCAAGCATATCCTAGATTCATTGAAAGGTCACTCATTATGTTATACACTTGTTAAGCCCAATAATGCTACACAAGAGCAAGTGTATTGGGAAAAATGCAAGTCCGACATCAACTAGAGATAGTGTCAAAATATAATATGTAAGTGAGGGCAATCATCACCTTTTTAGTCATTTTTGTATGGCTGAGTTAGGCCTATATCCACTGTGTAAGAATTTGAATTCAATCTGAAGTTTTGATTGGTGATTATGGTATAAAATGGGAGTACAAACTACAACATCTTTCTGAACATATCTATACATTATATTGCCAGCTTGGATACACCAAAAAACAAGAAGAGAGACATTTCCGAGGAGTAATTGCATTAGAGGTAAGAATTTTTTGTTTGATTTCTTGAGTTTATGTTAGAAAGCTTGATCTTCAAGGTTAACTGTTTCTTCGACAATTGAGAAGTAACAAGGAAGGGCCAAATAACTACACTGTGTAATCAGATATCAAATTGGAGTACCATGTTGTATTTATGATTTATGGGAATTTATTGGATTGAGATTTGAAAAGACTGTGTAGAAATGTTGACTTATGAGATTTTTTTGAAAGACTTTTATGATTAAGATTTTGTAATTTAGATTTTAATAAATTTATCTCATAAGAATTTACAAGATTTGAAAAAGCTTTATGGATTTATAAAAATTTGAAAACACCATAGATTTTTTAGGAAACATTCAATTTTACAAGAGTCCATGAACAATAATAGAAAATGATTAAATTTGGATTTAAAAACTAAAACCAAAACAATTTTTTCAATCTTATACTAGCTATTTGTTCTAACTTCATTTTCTCTGTTACCAGTCATCTATGCATTAGCATCTTCTTGTGCATGCTCTTGGGTTCAAAATCTTGATTGGTTCAACTGGAAAGTCATAAAAAAAATATCAAGTAGACATGAATGTCTAAACATGAGCGAATTGATTTTGTGATGGAAGAAAGAAAAGTCTCAACCAGCAGAAAAAGAAAGAATGAAGGAAGTTTCAAGAGTTTCGGCGGGATTGTTTGATGGGTGTGATATTTATTCATCCTATTAAAAAAAATTCACATGAAATCCATCAAAATCTTTATTAAGAAATAATTTTTTTGAAATTTGTATATTTTTTAATATCAACAGATTTTTACAAGTTTTAACAAATCTTAATTGGAATTGACGTCTTGCTTGAAAAATTTTAGTTATCCTTATTGAATATCATAAAACTTATTTAAATCTTTAGAAAGTCTTGATTTAATTTCCTTTGTTTTTTTTTTTTAATATAAAAAAAGAGTCTTTTAAAAATCCTTTGAAATCCTAATCCGATAAATCCCCCTTAATGTTCTTATGGATATTGTCTCTCTTGAGATGAAGTCCATTTGTCTTTTGTATTAAGCGTTGTATTTGTTGTAACATATAATCATGGTTCAGACTCAAAATAATTCCTTTTTTAAACAGAATTTTCAGTTGACTGAAATAATGATCATTGTTAAACCATTCAGCATAGTAATTCCTGTATTACTTTTGGTTTGCTGATCAGGAATGCATTATTGATGACATTTCTGATGATGATGAAGTCTCCACGAAGAGTTCCAAGGATAAAAAGTCCAATGGACCTGATTCTGGAAAAGCATCAAACCTTGTTTTCAAGATAACAAACAAGGTCCCATATAAGACTGTTATGAAAAGTAATCCCTCTTGTTCTATTTATGCAACCTCCCTCACCTCTTCCAATTTAAGAGTTTATTACCAGATCTGAACAATACCTCTACTGTCACATCTAACAATATTAAAACTTACATTTTGCAGCTCAAAGTGTAGTTTTATTAAAGGCTGAGAGCATGGCGGATAAGGTTGAGTGGATCAACAAGCTAAGAAATGTGGCACATGTTAAAGGAGGTCAAGCCACTGGGGAACCTAGTTTTCCCATGCGGCAAAGTCTTTCTGATGGTTCTCTTGTAAGTTTCTATCCGTTCTCTTTAAAGTGATCTAATTCAATCTTACAAAATTACTTTAAAGGTGAGATATGCCTTAGCTTTATAAGGACTACATTGGTCATTTATCTAATTGATGTGATATCTCAATCTCTTGACAGCTTGACAACTACACTAACATTTTACTAGATCCATTTGGTAGAGAAGAGAAATAGTATATTAGAAAAAAGGTGATGAAAATAAATAAGAAATAGAATGGAAGTTAAAGAAGTTTGATTGAAGAGAAATAAATAATAAGTGAACAGATATAGAAAAATGAATAGACATTGAGTGAAAATTACTGGTGGGACCCACTCACTTTTTAGTTTTCTTCTCCCTATTTCTGTCTAGCCAAAAAATCCAATTAAATCCATCCTTCCTATTTCCACCCCCTTCCTTCCAAACAAACACACTATTAATGTTTTGGTTAGTCACTCTATAGGTAACCCTTTCCGGGACACTATCAACCAACTTTAATAGGTAATTGAGGCAGGTTAGGATTAATCTCAATTAAGTTGATTTTCCAACATATTTATTTAATTGACCAATTAAACACTTAGATTTCGTCTTCTTCTTCCATCATTGGTTCTCATATATTTCTTAGTTTGTTTGGGATAAATTTGTTGAATGCCAAAAACTTCCTTTGATAGCATCCTTCTTCTAGTGATGATATTTATATAGAAATGAATTATGACGATGTGGACCTTAGTATGGGATACTTTACTTATTGCTGTTAGATATTTTAGAATTTACAAACACAAAACAATTTACAGTCCATCTAGAATAGTGTTCATTTTTGAATTTGATAATGATTTTTTATGTTGCAAAATCTTCTGTAGGATACAATGGCCAGAAAACCTGCAGATCCAGAAGAGGAGCTCAGATGGATGTCTCAAGAAGTGCGTGGTTATGTTGAAGCTGTTCTTAACAGCCTTGCTGCTAATGTCCCAAAAGTGAGTTTATTTTATTAACTACCGTAATTTTCTCTTCAGATTTGGAACTTAGTATCGGATTCTTTACTTATTGCTGTGAGATCACTTCACTTTGTCTGAGCAGGCAGTTGTTCTTTGCCAAGTAGAGAAAGCCAAAGAAGACATGCTCAACCAGTTATACAGTTCCATTAGGTTAGTGCTGTCTCTTCTCACCACGCTGCTGTAGGATGATCATTAAGTTGCTTCTTAATGGATATTATATATGTACGTATTTGGTCATAATGTGAATGCTCATTGATTTTGTGTTTTTTAATGCTTTGATTGGATATGTCCAGAGGATCAACACAGACACTGTGGGTTTGGGTATACAAGTAGATTATGTTTATGAAGTTGCATAGTGTATTTGGTTGTATTCGAGTATACATTACTCATCTACTGTTTTTCTTTCAGTTAGGAACTCTGTAACTCACTTAGTTGGTAACTAACTTAGTTATCTTTCGTTAGATTTACCATAGCTTTACTAACTGTAGTTTTGTTAACATAGTTAGGTATACCTCTGTTAAGCTGGTAGGTACATATAGCTCAGTAATCACCTCAGCAAGATCACTTTTGTAATCTCAGTTAATGAAATAACCTCTTCTTTCAAATGTAATAGGTCGGAGCATTGTGCTTGCATGTTTAATGATGTTCCTTAGATCTTCAGCTTTATCTGTGATAGGATTATATTTTTGGTGTCTCTGATATTTTTGAGGGAGTTGCCATTTCTCATATATGATCAGATTTGCTTGTCTTTTCAAGTTCATTTATTTTTCTTGACTTTTCTGTTTAGTAGGATTTCTTTGTAATCCTAACCTATCCCTAGTTGTTCTTTCCCTTTTCTGTCTAATAACGTTTTTGGTTTCCAATAAATAAGAATACTTGAATCTTTTATTAAATTTGTTTAATCTTGAACAGTTCAGCTATTTACAAATTTTTCTTCAGGCATGTAACCACTGTCGGTGAAAATTAAGTGTATTTTTAATGTTGTGGTTGGCAGTGCCCAAAGCTCTGCAAAACTTGAGGAGCTACTGCAGGAAGACCACAATTCCAAGAACAAAAGGGAGCGAGTTCAGAAACAGTCTTCCCTTCTTTCAAAACTCACTAGGCAGCTTGGTGTCCATGACAATAGAGCGGCTGCAGCATCCAATTGGTCCGATAGAGGGAGTGCTGCAGGTAATGTCTTCAAATTTGCCAGAGGTCTATTGTTGGAATTTTGTAATGTTCCGTGTTATATGAAATTTACTTCCGAAGCTTAACTGGTTGGCTTTTGTTGAAGAAAGAATATGATGAAATTATGTATATAATTTTGTTGTAATTCTCTTGGAACATAATGAATAAGTTGTCAAACATATAATGTGTTAATTACAGCTTTCTTAATAACTACTATGTGTAGAATCCGCACATGCATCAGTTAAGATGTATAGGCTATTATTTGTTGATATTTCATATAATTTTGGGAACAAATTTATACAGAAAGCAGCCCAAGAAGCTCTGGACCATCTTCAGGTGATGATTGGAGGTCTGCCTTTGATGCTGCTGCCAATGGTCCAAGCGACTTGTCATCTAGGTATGGTTCCGGTGGTCATAGTAGACGTTACAGTGACCCATCCCAAAATGGTGATGTGAACTCAGCCTCAAATTCTAGCAGTCGTCGGACGCCAACTCGGTTGCCTCCTGCTCCTCCGCAATCTGGTTCAAGATATTAGATGAAGCTACATGAGGTTTTAATCAAAAATTATGCATTCTTGTCTCTTTTAGTTTTTTCATCTTATAACGAGACTGGCCCACCTCGACATTAGTTGGAATGTTATAGTTTTGTAGATAAGTAAAGTATTGCTATCTCATTCATCTTATGGTCACACGCAGTATGTGTCCGATTTTATTCCCTTACTGGGTATGTGGGGGCATTGTTGGGTGAGATGATTTTGTGTCTTCCCGACATTCTTTCTCCTCTTACAAATGTAATTGTTTTGTATCCAATGTGATTATAACCATTTATATCAATGCCTTTTATGTTTCTGCCCACTTTATTAACCACTAATTATTTCCGTTTTGTTTCATCATATGGAAAACCTTCCGGTTTTAATGGGTTCTAATTCATCGTTGTAACGCATCGAGATATAAAACCAAATTGAAAATTCCCGAACAAAAACTTTGGACTGGGCAAGGATTAAAACGTTATGTGATGGCCAAAAAATTCTGTATCCCAAGGAAAATACATAAAAATTATAGCGAAGTTAATAGTTTAAGCAAACCAAGTTTGTTCCATGTATATCGTTGCAATTTCTAACAGGAATATACAAAATAAAAAAGCAGCATCTGAATCTGATGCGTGGTGGATTCGCCGCTGAGATTATGTTATCAACCATACCGTTGTTGACATGTAAAGTCTCGCTCCAATCAACCACAAACCTCAGCTGTAATATCTTTGAATCTTTGAAATATTGTTTGATTTGGAGAAGTTGTGTATTTTATCTCCTCCTACTATCCTAGTACTTACGAGGTTTTCATAAAGGTAGTCATATCTTGTATTAAATTTTATACATAATTTTATTAAGAAAAGAAATTATATATATTGTTAAGATAATTTATTTCTTTTTAGTTTCTTCAGAATAATCTCGAACAAACTTTAAAAAAAATAAAAAAATGGAAGAAGTATTTACACTTCTCGTTCTTTATCTATCCAATTGTGTCTATACACTTCTATATACAAATATTCTCAAGCTCTAAAAGTATAATTACCGATGACAGTGAACAAAAAAATAGCTATAAAGGAAATAAATACCAATGATAATAGATTTACTGTTTTCGTTTAGAGTAAATAAATGTTTGTTTATTGCAGGTTCACCTGGGTTAAATTACAAGTTCTCATAATACTAATATGCTTTTTATAGGTTAATGAGGTCACATGTTATCGCAAATTCCCATGATCTGACAGAGATATGAAACCTACGGTCCTTCCAGATAGGAAGATTTTATGGTTCTTATTAGAGAATTTGGTATATGTACAAAAAGACACGTGTCAATTTACATCCGGAGGGAGAAGTGAAGATGAAATAAATAATAGTATAATAATATAAGAAAAAGAAAGATTAAAAAAATGAAATAGGAAAATATTTAATTAATTAATGGGCATAAAAAAATAATATATTATCGGATGATTGGAGGGAGGGAGGGTTGCTCCGAAGAAATGGGAATGGCGGGTGTGGCAGGGAGTGTGAGGTGCTGCACATGCACTCCTCCGTCTTCTTCTTCTTCTTTGTTTGGGAGGAAGGAAGCCACTCCAATTAGATTGAGATTGAGATTGAGAACTAAAGCTCTTTTTGGGGATTGGGGATTGGGCAATAGAAACAAGTCCCTCTCCTTCTCCTCCACTCACCAACACCAACAAGAATTCAGTTTGAGTTTGAGAGAAGATACAAGAACAGATAGAGACACAGAGAAGGTGATAATAAGAGTGGGCGTTGTGTCTTCCATCTCGGACGTTCCGTCGAGCGAATGGGACGCGTGCGCTGTGGATGCGAGTGGCCCTCACAAATTCAATCCTTTCCTTTCCCACGCCTTTCTCTCAGCCTTGGAGCACTCTGCCTCGGCCGTTAGGGAAACTGGATGGATGCCACATCACATCGTTGCCAAAGATCAAGCCAACAACATTCTCGCCGTCGTCCCTCTCTATCTTAAAACGTATTCTCTTCCTTTCTCCTTTCTCCTTTCTCCTTTCTCGCTTTTTTATCATCTCTTTCCATTCTCTGTCTCTCGTTGCAGCCATTCCTACGGTGAATTTGTTTTTGATCACTCTTGGGCCAATGCTTATCATTCATACGGATACAAATATTACCCCAAGTTACAATCTTGTGTGCCCTTCACACCTGTAACCGGTCCAAGGATCTTACTTCGCAACACCTCCTTCAAAGATCAAATCTTCGACATTATTGTCTCTGCAATGAAGGACCTCACTGCCAACGTAATCAATAATCCGCTCCTCTCCCTGCTTCTATTTAAATGCTTTTTCTAACTAATCTCTTTCTCTCTCTTTACAGTCCCAGCTTTCGTCATTACATGTTACTTTTCCCTCTGAGAATGAGTTCCACAAACTCACCGAAAAGGGCTTCCTCCCCAGGATTGGAATGCAGTATCACTGGAAAAACCGTAACTACAAAAGGTGAGTCTTTTTTTTTTTTCCTTCTAATTGTCAAACAATTCCTACACTAGAAACTCGCTAGCATGCAGTGTCACTTTCCTCAATCCGGTCTTAAAAATTGTGAAGTAATACGGGGGTAAGCATTATAAACTATGGGTTTCTTACTTACGAATTGTTCTACACTTGACAACAAAACCTATTTCTTTCTTTTCACACAGAAGTTCTGTTATTAATCTGTTTTTAGATCTCTTTATCACTTGTTTCCACCCCTAAGTTTCTCATTATTTCCATCATGCTTAGTATAATTTTTAATCTATTTGGAAAGCCTTTTGCTTATCTTGATACTTGTTCTTTGAGCCGCCTCTCTTTTAGAAATGTGCTGGATAGTGGAAAGGATCCAATCATTCATCTTCCTTCGTCTAGTATTTTATCTGTTTACAAAATGTCATTACTTATCACGTGTGAAACTGATCCACCATAATAGTTCTGTGAATAGACGCGTCTTGTTAATCCTTAACGTCAGTCAATACAAATTTTTGTTGTTATTTTATGTTTGCAGTTTTGATGAATTTTTGCTGGACATGAAGCAAAGTAAAAGAAAAAATATACGTCAAGAGCGTAAAAAGGTTGGTATTCGCATAAAAAATTATTAATATGTGCTAGTTTTTTTTTTTTTTTTTTTTTAGAATTCCATCCACTAGCACTGTCCCCTGCATACTATTTCAATTGGTCAATCGTTTGCCTTTTCACTTTGATTCTGGCTTGTGACAGCATAATGAGAATGTATTGCGAAAATGCTTTATTTTCTTTGGGTTACCATGAGCCAAATAATTCTGGATTTTAAGTGACGTGAATGCAATTGACCTGATAGTTCTTTAGCCACATAAATCATTCGATCTCTTTATACGCAGATTTCAGCCCAGAACTTGATTATGAAACGGCTCCGGGGTTATGAAATAAAGGTACTTCACATTATATCTATACTTACAGGATTGTAATTACTCTTTTTACTTTTGGAAGATTTAAGTGCACAAAGGATATTACTGATCTTCTGTTAAATAACTGTGGCAAACGTCTTCTAGCAATAGAATGGAGAACATCATAGTTCTCTGTCCTACCTAAGGAGAAGAAAAATTTACATTAGGAAGAATATTAAGTACATCTTACACTTCATATAGAATAGAATTTTCTAAGATTACAGTAGCATGTTTGCCATCATTATATAAGTTAATTAATGCTCAACTAAAGGTAAACTTACTGCTTATACTCTCCAAATTTAACCCATTTGCAAATAGACCTTAGGGTATCGATGAAACAAACGATCTCCAAATTATGCGCAAAAAATACCTTTGCTAGTCAAACCATTAAATATTTTAATGACATTGTCACAACACCAAAACAATGAGTGAGAAAATTACAAACGTTATCTGGAATATCCAAATATTCACTTAAAATGGTTTGCAAGATATGTTTATCGGAGCATTTGACAGCAATTCTATTTTGGTGCATTTTAACATATCCCTGTGATGATTGTATAGTTCATGTATCCTTGAAGATGTTATAATGATATACTTCATTGGGAAAACTTTAGATTGTGATTCTCTCTATTCGCAATCTTACATGTTATGTTTTTGTATTGGAAGGCTAGGCACTGGGATACCTTCTATACTTTTTACAGGAACACAACTGATAACAAGTATGTTACCAAAATTGAACCTTGCAGTTTTGGTTTAAAAAAAAAAAAAAAGGTTTGATGACATGGGAATGGTTGAAGTGTCAATATTTAGTATTTTTGTCGGTCTATTGACAGATGGGGCACTCCTCACCTGACAAGGGAATTTTTTCATGAGCTGGGATCTAAAATGGGGGATAACGTGCTACTTGTTGTGGCTGAAGAAGAGGATGAACTAGTTGCTGGAGCCCTCAATCTTATTGGAGGAGATACGTTGTTTGGGCGCCTATGGGGGTGTCAGCCACGAAGTTACTACCCAAGCTTGCATTTTGAAGCATGCTATTATCAGGTACATGCTTCTTAATTATGGTAAAGCCTTCCCTTTTTGCTTCCTAGTGGTGTCAGCAGATAATGCATTTTTCTCTCCAACCTCTAACATGACCACTCTTGCGCATATTGTTTGGTTCAAAGGTGTTTTTATCCTCTTCTTTATGAGTTCTAACTTTTTCAGCCTTCTCCATGTGTTGTTCCCCCTCCCCCCTTTGAGGAACAAGAAAATGATTTATTTTCTGTTTCATTCTTGGACTGGATATATTTTTTCTTTTATTAAGAAAAGAAAAACGAAAATTATACTCAACCTCCCTTCTCATCTGTACATATACTTTGTGATGACGTAATAGGCAATTGAAGCAGCTATTGAACTAGATCTCAAGACAGTGGAGGCAGGAGCTCAGGGTGAACACAAAATTCAGCGGGGATATCTTCCTGTGACAACTTTTAGCTGCCATTACCTTATTGATGAAGAATTTAGGGAAGCTATAAATGATTTTTTGATACGTGAAGCTTCTCAGGTATGATACATAAATTCTTAGTTAAAGTATGTTTCAAGTTATGGAAGACATCTGCTGCAGAAAAGATTTATATTTTGATCGGTCTTCATTGTCTACTACTCTTGTTTTAGTATTACCGAGATCTATATTGTAATGATAGTTTTTTTGTAATTGCATTCATCATTACAATCCAACACTAAGGTGAAAAAAATAAAATAGTAAAAATTCGAGTTTCGATCTTACACCATCCTTTTATGCTATAAGCCACAAAGAACGTAAACTCTTTTTGTTATTACCATGCGTGCTTTTAATCGGTGACTTTTTGTGTGTACAGGTGAAGCTTGTTATAAAACTGTTGCGAGATTCAGGTCCTTTCAAGGAAGATATCGTGTAGAAAGTAGTACGTTGATTGGTATAGTGATTGTAAATACGAATATGATTTTATAATATACTTAATAGGAATGAATTTATGGATTTGATGATGATGATGATGATGATGATAAGGTTGATGAATGTAATGTAAAAGAAAATGCAACAAGTAAATTATGATAAAGTAAGAAATGGAAAAAGAGGAAGAGGATTCAGACAGTGAGAGAAGCACCGTTGTCAGCGGGGGAGAGATTGAGAATGAGGGTGGCTGCCTTGAGAGCCCATGACTGAGGGGTTTGATAGAGAGAGGCAGATGAGCCAAAGCAGGAGGAGAGCATGTCAGTGTTAATAACACCCGGATTCAGCGCCACCACTGCCATCCCTTGAGGCACCTCTTTCGCCACCGATTTGCTCAGCCCTTCTATGGCCCACTTGGAGGCGCAGTAGGGAGCCACCAGCGCCGCACCCGACCTACCCCATCCCGAAGACATGTTCACTATTATCCCTTCACCCTTGTTGGCCGCTATCATCAGAGGGATGAAGTGGCGCAACACGTTCGTGGTCCCCTTCACGTTCGTATCCATCACCTCCTCGAACTCTTCCACCGGAACCTCCCATATCTTGTTGTTCTTATTGATTGTACCGGCGTTATTCACTGATGAAGAAATTGAGATGTCAATTTGAGTGTATTGGCTAATTAGGGCTATGCATGCTTGCTTCCGTACCTATAATATCAGGAACAGCCTTTTTGTCCATGACAAGTCGGGCCAATTGTTGAACGGCGTCGTTGGACCTCTGAAATTATGAAAGGAATGGGAAATGATCTAGAAATGGAAGAAAGCGGAACAGAAAGAGAGTAGAAAGAGTGGAAAGGAAACACTGACGACGTCGGCATTGACGAACAAATGGTTGAGGCTGTGATTGGAAGAAGAGAGTTGGGATTGGAGGGAGTTGAGATTATCCTGTGAACGGGAGCATCCGATTACTGTATGACCTCGAGTCGCCAATTCAAGAGCCAGGGCTCTCCCAAGCCCTTTTCCAACCCCTGTTATCAGCACCGTCTGCGCAGTCTTCATCTTCCTCTCTCTCTCAATAGCTCTTTTCTCAACTCTCCCACTTCTTATATCCATTTCATTTTCTTTCTTAATAAAGTTATAAAATTTAATTTAGATTTTTAATTTAAATTAAATTGAATACTTACATTATATCAATTTTTCAGGTAATGCGAATCAGAAGACAAAATAAATACAGTAATGTAAATGCATGGTATGAATTCCTCAAGAATGTCTTCATTCAATGTCCTTCCTTAAAACTGTTCAGGCCGAAAAAAATATGACTTATTTATATAGGTCTATAAAGAATTTATTACATCAAAAACTAATAACATAATTAAACCTAAATTAAAACCATATAAAAGCAAATTGAAAAACAATTATTATCTATAATATATTATAAAAAATTAATAGAATAATAGTCAAAGTTTAAAATTTATAATAAACATGTTTTTTAATTTATAATCATCTTTCTCTTTTATAATATGAAATTATATGTTTCACTATCCAAATTATACATAAATAAAAAAATTGAATAAATAATAAAAGTAAAATCAATATATACATATATATTATAAAAAATTGGCGAAATCAACATTCAAATAAAAATAGATGCCTATAAAACAATTTCAAAAAAAAATTATCGTTACGAACAAAAAGTAAAGGTTCATAATAATACTTCAAGTTCAAAGAATAGAGATTAATTAAAAAAAGAGAATAATATCTTATAATTTTAAATTTGTCCAAAAAATATTTGAAATTTGACTTTCCTTTAGTTCTCTACTATCATGGAGTTTTATTTTTATTTTCATTAAATAAAAACGTGGTTTTAGTTTATTAATTAAATAATTAATGATTAAAATTAAATAAAAAATAAATGATTACGATCTAATATTAAAAATTAACTGAAAAATAAGGTCATTTAAAAGACAGGGAAATTTTAATATTGAAAGCTAATTGATAAACAGTGTCATTTAAAACATAGGAGAGGCACAGCGCAAGCCTAATCGTACAGCAACTGGATAAGTATTTTCGAAAGTTCTTTTTATCTAAAATGTATCACACTTTGTTAATATTTGTGCTTCTAAGCATTTATTTTTCTATTAAACTTTAAAAATTAGTGCCTATGCATTTATTAAGATTTAATCAAATGGCCCGAAGTTTCAAATGTTTGTTAAAATGCTAATAATATTAAATTTTTAACATTATATTTCATAAATATTTAAGAAACTTATTTAAAGTAAAAAGTTAATTGGTTACTTAAGAGTTGAACTAATTGTATGAGCATATTTGAGTCTGCCGAGAAAGAGTCTTCCACATACTTTCAGGAGGAGACATTAACATGAAAAGCCAAAGTCTTCATTAAATGATATAAAAATTTAAGAACAGTCATAATGTTGTTTTCCATAGTCCAAGCAATCATGGGGTTACAAAAGAAGTAGTCGTAAAAATTAAACAATCAGACCAAATTGTGCACGAGTGTTAGTGGGAGAGGAGAGGAGGGTTATGTGAAGCCAATAATAAATGCTATATACAAAAATGACACGCATCATATTGGGTGAACTCCAAAAGAATACTTGAGTAACTGAGTAATGACAGACAGACAGACAGACAATACATATGTTGGTGGTGGTGGCGGCCACCAATAAGCATGGACCATTAAACATCCAGCGGTGGTGAGAACTGTAGATGATATCCGACAGACGAACCACAATATAGGAAGCACATCTTTCATTTATGGGAAGCCAAGATCAAATCAAACAGACAGTAGTATCTCCAAACAAGACAAAACAAAACAACCCTCTGCATCCATGCCGTGCCAGCCAAGCCACCCTAGCTGCACAATACACAACTGGAAGTGAAAGTGGTATGAATGTGTATGCATGTTCCTATTGGCCAAGTTCTTTATCACCATCTTCATGTTCTACTCCCATACCATACCAACATTTATTGCGTATACAACAACTAGAATATACTGGAATTTTTATGATTTTTAGCAGCTCAGTCCCACATTAGACGAATGCTCCTCTGGATTGACTATTGCTTCTGAATCCTGCTTGCTTGCTTTCAATTCATTCATTGGAAGTCCTATTTTCGGGGAAAGCTTCTTTACCTCCTCTACCGTGTAGATGAAAATTTTCCTCACAACACTACAGAACTCACTGCAATAAAGTACCAAAAAGTTAATTTAATATACCACAAGCACAGAAAACTAACCACCCACTGTTTCTCAATGCAAGAAGAAAAGTATCAATCAAATTATCCACTCTTTTTAAGTCCATCATCACAACGACACAAATACTGTAAACCACACAAACATGAAAATGTCCAAGCCAAGAAAATGTGCAAGTTAATCGAACTTACTCCCATGGATCGTCTCCAACCATCATCATATCATCTTCGTTATCAGTGTAGACAACCTGCCAGTTTTTTGTGGACCCACAGAGCTCAGCCTTGATGTCAAACATCTCTTCCAATTTCCGGAGCAGATCCTTATATCCATCAAATCGTGTTAAATCCACAGCCCTTCCAACAGCCATTCCTTGCATGTGAACCTAAAAAACATTAAATCACATCATAAATAAATAATCTCAAAACAGTACTCACGATGAAGTGTACTACCTTTGTACAGCTCCTTATTTGCCTGCTTTGTGACTCCTGGGGAGATTGCAGGCACGATTTTTCAGCATCACAACTTTCTGAAGGAATATCAGATCGATTGGCATTTGATGGTTCCGAATGCTGAGATTCAGCATCTAAAGATGGAGCAGACCTATCATCACCCACCCATCCAGACAAAGTCGCTGTTTGTAGACTTCCTTCGGCATTAGAATTCTCAAGTAGCTGAATCCCAAAGAGTCTGCAGCCATTTCCAGTGCCTTGTCTCTTTTCTCCAGCTTCTTTAAGGGCTATAGCTGAAATAGATTCCAAGGAATTTTCCATCCTATTAGACCAATATATTGATTTGTTGGAAGGAGGTCCCACAAAGCTATTCCCACTAAAACCAAGAAAGTTAGTTGCAGAAGAATTGAACTTGGGTGATGGATAGAGGCCACGTCCATGTTGAGGGTCACAATAGAAGAAAGGTGTAGATTCAACTGATGATTTCCACATGCCTGGTGTACAAGGAAAGTGGATAATGTAGAAAAACAGCATAATTGATGAAATGAATTTGTGTACCACCAACCCAGCAAACTCACCTTGCAAAGAAGAATCAGGCATTGTAGAAGGTAGAACGAGAGGCCGTGCCCTCTTGTTTCTTGGGGTTGGCTGCGGGTTTGCAGGAGTGGTAGACACAAGTGGCTCCAATTCCCATGAAGAAACTCTATCAGGGCGCAAAATTGATGATGGTTCATCCCATTGCACCTGAAATAGGAAATATAGGTCATAAAATTACAGAAGCAAAACTTGCCGGCTAGTTCTTAAATCCTAACCATCAACACAGTGCAAGCCCTGCCATATTCATCTTTTATACAAAACCTTTACAACTCTTTGATGGCAACTCTGTTCTTTACAGAGTGCGTAATGAGCTTCATTTCAACTCGATCTGTCAGAGTCATACAACTCAAACAATATAAAAGATAAAACAATAAGCAGTCAAGGTTATGTGGTAAAAAAATGTGGAGTAACATGTTTCTTCCATTCATTGGATGGTCCACCAAAGTTCAAAAACGCATATGACAACAAGGGGAGGGAAGAAAAAAAAAATACTAGGGAAAATAAGTTTAAAATCACACAAGGCATCTTGCGTATTTACTTTTAATGATCGCCACTCAGAATCAGGCCACACTGATGATTTATTATCTCCAACACCCACAATTGTGCCACTGAACCTGGATTCAGGGGGAGAGGAAAATTATCAGATAGCATTGTGTGATAGCATGAAAATATCAAATACAAACTAGCCAGGTCATGCACCTTCTTTCAGGAATTTCGTCACCCTCAAATCTCATTTTGAATCTCATCCCAACAGAGAGTTTATGACTATGAACTTCCAGATACTTGTTGACACTGACAATAAACTCCGACCGGCTTGTTCTAAGATAAATATTGACAAATCAGCAGAAAGTCTCAACACAAGAAAAGAAAAGAGGAAGAACTCAAATACAATCCGAAGCAAAGTATTCCAGCCAAAAAAAAGAGTTCATTAATTGCATAAAACAGGCAAGCACATTTACATAAAAATGTAAAAGTTAAAGGGAAAAAAAGTAAAATGTGACAACAATAACATCACAAACTAAAAATATTAACATAAGGACAACTAAAACTAACAACTTCACATTTTCAAATACAAAACCTGGGCTTGTAAAACACAGAAAACAATGTTCCAGTGGCAATGGCATGAGATGCAGTGGCCAGAACACCAAGATGCATACTGTGACTAGATATAACAGAAGAAGGCACATTGCTTTGCTGTCTCATGACCCTCCTAACCCCAACTCGCAGCTCTCCATTTTCACCCCTGGAATATAGCATACAACACAAACCAGCCAAAATCACTAACAACATTAAGGAACAAAAGCAAGGAGGGATAGTAAGTACTATTTCTTGCCCCCAAGGAAAAAATGGAGGCATAGTAGCTTCTGCAATTAATCAACTTGCCTTAAGAATATAAAGGCATCACCAGCCACTAACTTTTTGGAACTGACAAAGACACTCCACCCAGTGGTAAGTAAGTGGCGCTTGGGTTGCCCTGGAAATTACTCTGTTCATTCAGGAACTTACTGACAGTATAAATAAACATCAAATCTAATCTTATACAGTTCAAGAAAATACTAGTTTTTGTGTGAGAATTCACAGATTTAAGAAAGCTTAGAAGGACTTATTTACAGAACCCTTTTCTGCCATAAAAAAAATCACAATAAACATTATTACACTTGCTAGCTGTATCTTCAGCTATTAATGAGGATGATAACCTTAGCTCAGAAAACAAATAGGTCAGATGGCCACAAGTTAAAATGGGGACTTAATCTACTCTTAAAGCATAAAATACGTGGATGAAAAGCTTTTCCAACAAGAGACTCCCTACAAGCTACATAAAACAGACAAAAAACATATTTCACGTTGACAATTTTCCCCCATTGAATAAGCCCCAATCCATTTCTATTATAACAACAAATCCTGTTCAACCTTAATGTTGGGTCACTCAATGAAGGTTCAAACCTATAACTGCCATGCTCACAATGTCCAATCTTGGGCATGAGATGGGGTGTGTTAAAATGCCTCCCTCACTGACTAGGAAACCTCCTTACTTGAACTTTAGAGCATATGCTGAACCCAGTTCATTTATAATAATTTTCTTCTACTATAAATAAGGCTATTGTGTGAGTATTATTTATCACATCATTACACACCGTATAAATCCAATCTCACATTTATTTCATAGAATTATTTTTCTCCTTTCCTACTTTCCACCCTAAACCTAACAATTTCAACAGCTAATAGTAAATAAATACATAATATGTAATGCCCCCAATTGAACTGCAGCTGACATATCAACTAAATCTTGATCGATACAATTTTTTTTTTCTTCAAGCAGACACTATAAATTAAACTATCACACTCTATAACATGTTCATGGGATAAAACATGTAGAAAGAAAATTGAAAAAGAGACAAATTAATCAAGCTACTAACCTCGAAAAATATGTCTAAAATGCCATTCATTCCCGTGTAAATCAGTTGCAACCAATTCTTGCCATGGTGGTTGCTGAGACATATCCTGAACATATCCGCAAATTACAAGAGAGGCACAGCTGAAGAAAGGAAAGATTATGTTGTCTCTACAGGCATTTCAAGAAGAGGAAAGAGTCTAACCAACGGAGGCAGACAATCATCTGCATGTCTTCGAAGCACAGAGAAACCCCCATGGGTACTGGTATCAGATGCGGTAAGAGTCTTGCAAAATGAATGGATCTTGACCCTTGGAGATTCAGGCAGAGGATCATCAGGGCTGGTCACCTCACTTTGCTAAACCAACAAGGAAGGGTAATATAAGGCATACACAACAATAGAAAAGAGAACTCAAATGCACAAAACACAGTTATGACTTATGACTAGAAAAGGTTTTGAGAGACAAATTGGGTGTAGATGTATAAATCATGTAAAACAAAGAATAAGAGTACACTCACATCTACTTCAGGAAGCAGAGTTATCTGTGCATATACTTCATCAGTTTCGGATTCAGCCTACACAACCAGTATCAATTCAACAATTAACTACTATCGATGTAAATCATGACAAACTTCCATACAACTTATTGATACGAAAAGAAGAGTATCAAGTAAGATTATTGAGAAAAATCAGAACTCACCCGAAGGTGAACATTGACCACTTTACATAATATTTTAGAAGGCAGATTAAAGGAAGGCATCTGCTGCTCCAATCCCTCATACATTGATGCCTCAAGCTATAAAAGAAAAAAGCACAAGACAAAAGAAGAACATACGCCTTAAAGTACAACAAAAAACATTCTATCGAAATAAAAACTGTAAGGAATTATGGATAAAAAATTATTACAGTATAATAAAGTTAAAATGATACTATCAAAGATGCTAATTAGCTGCAACACAATAAAATTGAAAGGTGGTGCACCATTTCACTAACCAAAATAAGACATGAAGAGCCTGTGGCAAAATGGTAATTTTGTTTTCTTTATATCAAAAAATTTCTCCCAACAGAGGTCAAAGTCCTCTTATCTTTCTCTCTCACAATATCCCCTCCCGCATTCTTTTTTTTCATTCTTTTCTTTGCTCCCCTTTTGTTCAGCAAAGCCATCAAACCTCACCCATAAGTTGCAAAATTATTGAGTAAATTGAAATTTTCAAGTTTCAAGTCTACCTCTCTTTTGCAAGTTCATTTTTGGAAAAATATTCAAGTTAGGACTGTGCTCTGAGGACAGTGCATGCCATCCACTCCTTGAAAGTTGCTTATTTTTCTCTGAGGTTAACTCAACCCAAAAGCTTGGATAATAAATTTTATTTGTATAATTCCATAAATGGTAGGTTGGACGGTCAATTTACGCATTGCATTGAAAATTTAGGGAATCAAATTAGGCAATTAAATGATATTACTAATTTGTGTTTCATTGGTATTTCTATGGTTACTGAACAGTATAAGTAACCTCCAATTCTGCTGTGAAAAATTTTAGTGAAAATACAGTTAGAGATCTATCTTTGACGTTGGCCTTGAACCAAAATGATTAATGTCAAGTATAAAATAATAATTTTGTGCCAGTTTTGGTATTTATTGATGTTACAGACATTGAAAAGGCCAATTACAGTAATTTTAACAGACAATTATTATACTTGTGAAAAGAAAATCTGAAATTAATTGTATGGGTTTTTTTGGAAAATGTTATCCCTGGCTGATTAGTCAAAAAAAAAAGTTCTTGAAATAATTTTATTTGAATGAATCAATTTATACATGATTGCCATTGTATGAGAACTAAAATCTTCTGAAATTGAGAAAACACTTTAACAAAGCACTCTATCAAACAGCTGGAAGCTGTAATTGTTTAAATATTGGTGCACCTATAATTTGATTAGGCCCTAACTGGCAGGGTGTCAACCCCATTGCTTATGGTTTCCAGCTTCATGCTTATCAATAAAAAGCTTTAGGTTAGTCAATCAAATATGTGTTTGCTCACAAGCTTTGTGCTCAATCTGCATTAGTTCTATCCAGTGAATTCTCCCGTGTGTGAAATGTTTTACAGGCTCCATTATACTTTGAATAATTCTAATGTCCAAACATTCAGATGCTTTTGCTTGAATTCTAATTACTTGATTAGAACTGTTTTATTAAAAGAATTAATTATTTCCATATGATAATATACTTGTCAATGAAACACACTAACACACTTGTGTTGCTATTCTTTTTTATATTATTATAGTATATAATGATTTTAATTGAAGGTGTCAATAAAGTTTTTTGTTCTAGTCCTCCAGCATGTTTACATATTTATTTTACAATGTTATAAACTCCTGTTTTGAAGCCTTTTTGAACTATATTTTCACAATTGCAACATTATTTCAGCAATAAGGACTTTACATGGGACATATTTTGTAGTTTATCATGTGTTAGTTATCAACATCACCGTAGGTTACTTATCAAGTGAAATTTCATAGTATGAGATTGGGCAATTGAATTCCATTTTGAGGCATTGGGTGATTACTCCGATTTTTTTGGAATATGACTTAAAGGTTTAGGAGGCTTGAGTAGTTTGGGCTAGCATATGTATCTTGCCCTTGTTACACACCCATCATGAACCGTAAGTTTCAGTTTTGAAAGAAACATTAATATTCAACTGGCCACAAAATTTTAATGAAAGACAAACAAATGAAACAAACAAAAATTATTTTTCGTTTTGAAAACTAAGCACCAATTAAATGGAATGTGGCATCTATCACAAGAGACCAAACCAATTCAACACTAGCTAACAATTAGTCTTGAGGTAAAACTGTTATGAGAATACTGGTAAGGTCAACCCATGCCAATTACCATAAATCATTGATGAACAGAACAATTTAAATAAGACCATCCAAAAACAAGGTATAGTGTGATTCAGAAGTAGGAGCTCATGCGTCTAACCACAATTAATGTTCAAAATTAAGATCCCATGCCATGAAACTTTTACCAAATGCATCTTGAAAATTGCAATGCTGCATGCATTAAAGAAAATATGGGTAAACAACCAAACTTCAAAGTACATGATTCAAAACTTAGAACACAAGCATCTCACTGCAGTTTAAGATCAAAAATTAAGATCCCATGCCCACGCAGCTTGTCCTGCAAATTAAAATGCCATATGCATTAACAAATATATGGTTATCCATTTCAAATGTCCCGGGTGTCATTCAGAATCAATGTTGTGACAAATAACTACGTGTCATGGTATGCCACCAAAAATTAGTTAATTTACATAATAGACTAACGAAATCTAGAAATGATGATTTTATACCACAAGCAAGGAGGCCCAGTAAATGTCTTATAAAGCCAACTTTCATCCTTATAAAAGGATAAACATTTTAAACTTTTCCAAACTTACAAATACATTTTGCTTGCTAAGTTCAAATGAGGAATTTCTAAAACTAAAATACGTATATACTAAACCAAAATACCTGTTCCATGTGACCTTGTGGAAAGTAATAAACTCTCTCCCCTTCACGAGGGAGACTGACAAGGGGACCAGCACAGGCCTGCCACAATTCCTTGTATAAACCATCATTGATTGCCCCTATAGAATAAAACATGAAGTACACCATGGGCAAAAAACAGCTACATGAGTCAAACCTGTTGCAAAATTCAAGATCTCCCCACCAATAACATACAAAATAGCTTCAATGGAGAGGGTGAAAAAAGACACCATGCTTCTGTTGCTAAGAATAAGAAGTATCACATTCTACTAACCAACCATTGAGGAATTTTAGTAGGTTGTAGATAATATCATTATAATCCAAGTTCTAGTTCTATCCTTTTAAGTGTTAGCTGGAGTTAGCAGCAAGTATAATTTTTTACAGGATCAATAGTTACCTCTCCAGAATGCATAAACTTTAAACAGATACTAGAACAAAGTCAAAATTTACTAGAACAAAATCAAGTATCATTCAAGTCAACAAGAGTATAAGCACAAAAAACAGCCATCTATCGTGGTGTGGATTCATCGATTTCCTTACCGACACAACAGAACGCTTTTTATTGTGCAAAAATCATCGATCGGGTCATTTATTACAGTAAAAATATATTTATCCCAAAAAGGAAATGGAGCAGCACATGATTAGTGATAAAGGATGTCATGTCAGAAAGATTGTGCGAAACCTGGATGACTTCTGCCAGATTTGTGAGTGGAAGCAGAAAATGCCATTGAGAAAAGCGCGCAAACAATTATAAGTTGAAATTCAACTGTCTTCCTGCTCGAGGCGAAACTGGAAAATAGAAAATAGAAATGGCATCAGTTTTGGTAGCAATTGATTAAATAGCTTGGTGAACAAACGTAAAGGAAGCAGAGTAAGTTAAATTTGCAGAGAGTGGATGATGATAGTTCGGTTGAAGATTGAAGTGAAGCGATGAAGAAAAGAAAAAATAGTGGTGAACATGGAGGGGCATCCATTTGCAGAGAGGTGAATAAAAAAGATATGAAAGTGAGGATTTCCCTAATTGGGACAGAAAGAGGGAATCAGATTTAAAATCGGGGGAAGGCGCAAGTGGAAGCAGAAATGAAGATCGATGAAACTCAATCATTAACTCACTCACGCAATAACTCTTCGGTTCCTTGAATTGAATGAATGTGAAATTTTGTTGTTGCTCGTTGAGTTTGAGAGTGTGAAATTGGTTGGAGCAGAGAGAGAAGAAGAAGAAGAAGAGAGTAAAAGAGACAGAAAGAGAGATAGAATGCGTGCCCTGAAACCCCTACAGGTTCCCCAACTGTCCCACGTCCATCAAGCACACGCCATTCAACTCATCATCACCATTATTATTATTTTATTTATTTTTTATTAAGAGAACGAATCCCGTTTCATTTAGATGCCAATTTAGTAGAGACAAACCAAACCAGTCCAATGGTGCTCTTAATACATGTGCGTTGTTCCTATTTTAGTACTCTCAGTTTTATTCTATCTTTTGAAAAAAAAATTATTCTTAATTTGGAAACTACATTTTTTTATTCATGAAAACAATAAAGAATTTTTGTTTATACAAACAATAATTATTATATAAAATGTGATGTCAAGTCAACACATTTTTTCTTTTGCGTAAATCCTTTCTCGTAAATATTTTGTTCTAAAATTTATTCTATCACTCAATTTATTTTTTTTATACATATTAAGTATATCTTCACTGTTTGTATGTCTTATTGTATTCAATTTTTATGTTAATGGAAAATATTTGATCTTTTGGTTGAAAAAATAGTAAAGGATTCATAATTAACTGTGGTTTAAGTTATTTATTTTTTGTCTCAATTGAATCTAATACAACCAATGAACATCAAGTATTGGATTTTAATGTATATAAATCAATATGAATAGTAGTTAGTATTATTGTTAAATATAATTTTTCAATAAAAAGTTAAAAAATTTGAATGATAGCATAAATTGTTTTGTTTAGAAAAACACTGGCGTCGCCCGGACTCGAACCGGAGACCTTCAGTGTGTTAGACTGACGTGATAACCAACTACACCACGACACCGTTCTGGACAACTTTTTCAACAGTTTATTTATTAAACTTTCTCTTCTTCGGTTTCTGACCCACTCTAAACTTTGCGCCTTGTTTGTTGGTGGGTGTGGGGTTTCATTTTCAAATAGAATTGTGAGAAGGGAAGCGAACGAAAGGAGGGAAGAAGAATAATGATTTTGAGAACTCCACCGCCACCGAAGAGACCACGCGGCGGCGGCGATGTGGACGGGGACGGCAATGGACAGCTGGTCATCTACGAGGATCCGCCGGAGTCATCTCAGGAACCCTCGGCTTCGGAGCACATGCTCTGCACCTATCAGTGTCGCCAGATGGTTTGTTTTCTTTATCACCTTAAAACTCGATAATCACATTCTCCTGCTATCTGGATCATTTTATCTAAAATTTTTTTCTCACTGTCTCAAACATTTCTATGCCATTGCTTCATGTACTTGTAATCAAGTTGTTCCAAAAGCTTATCAAAATAAATAAAAATCTTAATAAATGAGCTTTGTGATAAAGTTGTACCAAAAAATTATATGACATTAACTTCGCAGCGATGCCTAAATTTTGGGAAAAAAAGTAACACACATATATAGTTCACTATTGGCACTGGCCGCGTGCAGCATTGCTCTGCACCAGAGATCACTTGATGTGTGCTAGGTTTTATATTGCGGTTTCGTTGTGATGATATTGTGGGGAATTGTGGATAAATTCTGCCAATGCAGCAGCCTCAATTGCAAATGCAGATAAGCCTTGGTTGTGTGAGAAGTCAAGAACTGAGAAAAAACTAAAAGAAGAAAGGAACAGTTTGTCTTTCTTGGATTTTGCTGTGAGTCTCAACTTTTTCTAAGATGAACTGATGAAGTTTCTCTTAAGTTTGTTAGGACTTGGGAGAAAAATGTATACTAAAAGTTTCATTGTTTGAGGATATAATTAAAATCATTGTTGCACTTGCACTTTTTACTAGTATATATGTGTGTGAAAGTAAGAAAAGTAATTTTTAATCAATAGATATTGTCATGAATAGTCAAGATTAAAACACACCACTCATGTGAGTTTTTTAAAACGTCACAGATTTAGGTTTTATGACCCATATATACTCCTGTAAAAGTTTGTGGGAGCCACAACTACCCCTTGTAACATAGAAGCTCCTCTAGTGTCTGTGCTAATGCTTCCAACGCATGTTTTTTGCATGTTGTCAAATTATTGCAGGTCAAATCGGAATTTATTGATGCCTTAAGCAAAGCTGAAAATCAAGCCCGTGATTATCAATCAAAATTTGAGACATTGGAGGATAATTTCCAAAAAGTTGGTCGGTATATCCTAGTTGTAGTGGCTTTTCATTTAATCTTTTTCAACACTCTTTTTCGTTAAAATTTATATCCTGGTGATTTTTTCCTTTCTGTATATCAATATATCCTGTATTTTATGCATTTGTTTTAATTGTCAACTTGTTACAGAATCCGAGAGGAAGAAATTTCTGGACCAATTCTTATATGCCGAACAGGAACTCGCAGCTGCAAAAGGGCGTGAAGAGGCACTCCAAGAACAACTTTTGAAAGAGGTCACGGAGTCCCAAGAACGATTAAGAAAACAAATCCAATTAAGCAGCGAACTCCAGGTGATTTTAATTATTTTGTTTAGCTCTTTTAGATAATGAATAAACTTTATGATTCTTGATTTGAATCCTATGATTTGATACAATTTGTCTTCGTATTGATTTTTATTATCAGATGAATCTCAAATGATTGTGAATCTTAGGATGCATGAATGACTTGGTGTAATTTTGTATCTTTCTTATGGATCAGACAAATCAATGTTACTTTTATTTCACCAATTTTAGACGAAGAATTTGAATAGTTGTCCAAGCTTAAATTGTTAAGCGAAAAGGAAAATGTGTTATGTTTAATTAGTTTTGTATGTAGCATTACTACAAATTTCTAATACTATGTTAGCATGTTTTCTTTGGCGTGTTGGTCTGGTGATAATATCTAATGTTATTTTTTCAAACTTATTATTGAAGCTTATTACGATACCTCTGTTTGTGGTGCAATTTCAGACTGTGATTTAACTTTTTTCCAACTGGAATTTAGGTTAAGCTCCAGAATGAGACAAACCTTCGCAAAAAAGCTGAGTCTCATGCTTCTTCAGCAGAGGAGAAAGCAACATCTTTAGAAGGAAAGCTAGGCCATCTCTCAGAAAGTATAGAGAGGGAAAAAAAGCGACTGCATGACGAGCATTCACAATTGAAAAGTGACTCAAAGTTATCTATTTCTAGAATATCTGCTAATGTAAGGGCTATATTTGTTTGTCATACTAGAAAGTTTTTTACATCTTTGAGTTATTGTTTGAGTCGTGTATTGTTCTCATTGTAGCTTGAACAAATGGAATGCAAAGCTAATAATGCTGAGAGAGAAGCAGAGCTGCTAAAAGAACAACTGAAACATCTCAAGGATCAACTTGATGAGGTTTGGGTGTCTATTTAGCTGTTTGTTGACTTTTATTGTTTCTTTAAGAATATCCACTGAACAAAGGTATACTCTGGCAATACGAAATCATGATTTAGTGTTAAGCCTCCGAAATTCACGTGGACCTTTTTCTGGTAGATTATTGTATTATACATGCTTAATTTCATTGCTGTATTTTTATTTCCACTAGGTTTATTGACATCTGATTGCATTAAATCTTGATATCTATTTCCAGTGTTTGCATCAGAAGATTGAAGTTGAAAAAAAACTATCTACTTTGATGTTTCAAGAAGTTGCTTCTACAGAGAGTAATGTTTTAGTCAAACATTTGCAACAGGAGCTTCGGAACTATGTAAGGTTACTTTCCTTTTTATCTTGTATCTTGATGCTCTGTTTATTGAGATTATAGAAATGCAAGAACATGTACATTGATGATTTGATATATGACTCTAGACTAATTTTTGTAGTTACTGAATAATGACATTATTTTGATGAATCTTATAGAGAGAAATTTGGGTAGTCTTGGCCCTTGATTTGAGTTTCATTTCTTAAATCTGCTGGGATGTTTATGGTTTGGTGCCAAATGTCTCATGTATGTATTTTTCCTTTTCAATTTTGTTCCATTTATTTGTAAATTTTAGTGACTATAATTTAATCCGACACCTCATATTTAGGAAAACCACAAGAAGATATAAATATAACTTTTTTATCTCGTTACAAAAATATTCTCTTTTCTTTTAAACTTTGCTATCATGTAATTTCTCCTATGTTGCCTTCCCTTTGCAGTGTTTTAATGAGTTTTAACAAGAAGATATAATTTTTTGTTTTGAAGGATGCATTATTTGATTTGGAATTGTATATTCTTCTCCAGCACATTTGTCTTGGAAAACAGTTTGGTGCCTTTCATTTATTTATTTTTGTTTAATTCTTAAAATTTTTAATTTCAAACTATATTACCGGATTAATATATTTTTTGCCTGTCTTGTTCACTAGGAAATTTATAGTTGAGTTATCAATGTGAATCTGTTCACTACAGTAATCTGATAATGTATTTCAATTGACATTTAAGGAATCTGAAGTAAGGGAAGCACGGAAACTAAGATCAAGTCATGAGAACGTTGACCTTTTGAAGGAGAAATTATTGGAGGAAAAGCGTCACCGCGAAAGGGCAGAATCAGAGCTATCCAAGTTACAGGATATCCAGTTAAACATGAAAAAGTTAGAGGATCAAATATCATCATGGAGAATGATGATTACAGATTTACCTGGTGTCTCATGTTTTGAAGACTTGCCTGTTAAATTTGCAGCTTTACAGAAGTACGTCAGCAGCTACAATTCCGTTTGTGTTTGTACTCATAGACTTGAGCTTTTAGAGGCATTATTATAAAGATTAATAATTCTGGAATATTCTTTATATTTTATTTGGGTTTATACTGGATTGCTTCCATCTAATCTTTTTGTCTATGAGCACCTTGAGGCCATAAAATTTTAGATGATTTAGCCTATTCCCTATGACAGTTACTTTTTTCATTTTTTTGGCATTTGATTGGCACTACTTAGCTTAAAAAAGTTGGTCTGTGAAGCCTTGTGCATTCTTCCGTATTCATGATAATATTCATTTATGTTTTGTGGCATATTTCGGTATGCAAATTATTTAATGTACTGGATATTGCTATACTACTTTACATGCAAGTATACACCTATTGTCTTTGATCTTGATATCTTCTATCATATGCAGAGAAGTCATTTATAGCACACAAAAGGAGGGTGAGATAACTGCTCGCTTGAAACAAATGGAGGTGGCTCTGGATGCTGCTGAAATTGGTAAACAAAATGCTGAAACTGAGGCTGCATTGGCTAAAGAGAAGGCAGATGTATTGATATCAGAAATTAAAAGAATTGAATTAAGGGTCAGTGTTTGATTAGGACGTAGTTACGGAACTTGGATAATTGCTGAACATTGGACTTATTCTTTACATGCTTTATATCATGCATTAGTTCCATTGCCATTTTTGAAATTCTTGGGTTTATTATCTGCCATTTATAGGACATGCATTTATAGGACAGATGAAGAAATACTAATAAAAATTGCTTGATGTAAATTAATTGATAAATAGTTGGCTATTAGGTTATGTCTTTCAGATATTTGCATGCCCCCAAAGGAAAAACATGATTTGGAACCTGTAGTTAGAATGTTATATTATAGGTAAGGAGCTTGACAGTAAGAGAATTTATGTTACATCTGGAAGTGATTTAGATGCTTGGAGGATGAGATAGCCTACGGGGTATTTGGTATTTTTCATCCCCAGAATCATGTTTCCTGTGAATGTCATTAATGTACTTGAGTTTTCAGAGAACTTAGTGAGTCTCATGACTCTTTCAAGTGTATATTAGGGTAGCATACAATAGAAAGAAAAGAAGGAATAGAGTACAGCCTTAGGGAGTAAGGTGCAGCCTATGACCCTTCTAGATACATCAGAAACAACTTTATAAAATCTTACGAACAGATGAAAGCTTTATTTTAACACTCCCAATTCTCTCCCAGTTAAAATATCAAGGGTCTGCGCCTCCCAATTCCCAAAGGCTCCACTTCTCTCACAAATGACAAAATACTGCTCTTTTTCGTAGGCAATCTGCCTTAATTCTTCTCTAGGCCCAACAAACTAACTTCAACAATTAACTAACAAACTAATTCTCTAACTGGTAGTTACTTACCAATGACAACTAAGCATCCCACAGTTTTAATATATAACCCGAGGATGCTTTTTATTATTGCTGCATTGAAGCAATGTTGTGTATTTTGAATGAAATGGTTGTTATTTGGGGCACCAATTGACGAGGCTCTGGGCAAGCTATTCATTATAACTTAAAGAAACTGCTGTATGACAGTGATAGTTTCTGTGGATAGCTTTGTCTATGTAATCATTTTATTTGCCATTATTTTTTGGTTATGTGCTTTAAATCGTATATTAATTGTCTTGCAGCTTGCTATTGCTACTGAGGAAAGGAATAAATTAAGAAATGTTGCCAATTTGAAGAATGTTGAAACTCAGGATGCATCAAAAAATGTAATCCTGTCCAGATTACAAAACCCTCAATTTTGTTATCATTTAACTTTTCATGTTTTCTCTTAAATTTTCTTTTTTGCTTGTTATTTGGTTAATACTTGCAGGAACCTGAATCATTTCTTATGAAGCAAGACGATTGCATTAAAGAATTAGAAAGTACCTTGCATGACCAGAGACTGATTAATAATCGTCAATTAGAGGAAATAAAGTTACTTAATGAAAAATTGCATGGTGAAGCAAGAAAAGTGAAGTCATTGGAGAGGGAGAGTGACCGACTCCGGTCAGAGATTTCATTACTAGAGGCAAAGGTTGGTGGTTTGGTGCTCTCACAAAGAAGAGTACTACAGTATTCATGTTTTTAATACTATGTTCACTTCATTTCTTATGTCTGTCATGTCTTATTGTTGTACTGCTCATTTATCAAAGGTGTCCAGATTTTGCTTTTCATTTTACAGTTTAATTATCTAGACTTTGTTTTTTCTTCATTAGTTGGGTCATGGTGATTTTTCTGCTGCTAATACAAAAGTTCTGCGGATGGTGAACACACTTACTGTCGATAATGAGGCCAAACAAACCATAGAGGCACTGCAAACTGAGCTGCAAAAAACGAAAGAGAAGTTAAAAGCTGTGGAAGAATTGAAAAGTCAAACAGGTATGAAACCTTGTAATTACATTGGATGTAAAGTAGTTCTAAATGTTATCTTTTATAATGTCTAGGTTTCTTATTTGTTGTCCCCATTTCCTTTTCGTTGAATTTTTTAGTACTTATAAATATTCTGCTGGAATATAAGATAATCATAGATGATTTTCTTTAAAGGTAGAATTTTGTTTTTTGTTCCTCCTGCCACCTATTATTCACATTTTGTTTCTTTGAGAAGCCAATTATCAAATTTCTGGCTTCCTGTGGAGGAGTTTAATCACAATTGTCGTATTCTGATAATGAGAATTAAAGGCTCAGCTTTAACCAACTAGTTAATTTAAATCAGTTCTGCTTGGTACAGTGAATTTGACTGTTTGTTGTCTATGAAGTTACTGTTCCACCTGGCCTTGGCTGGGTTAGATGAATAAAATTTTCTTACACAGTATTGAGCTGAAAAATGTGGCAATGAGTGAATTTTTTGTCTGGTATCTCTGGAAGAAGTTGAGATTTATTTATTTTTTAATAAGGATAAAATGCTATTGCATCACGATTCAAGGTGCAAACCAAACTAGTTTAGCTCTACAACATGTATCAATCACATACAACATTCTTAGAAATATTATTAAAGAGATAAGAAATACAAAAGTGTGGGGAGGGGCAAACCAAACCCAGTAAGAGAAACAGAAGTGCTGAAAACCACACCTATTCCAACAAGAGTCAGATACAATAAACGTCAGTACACTATTCATAAAAAAAAAAAATAGAAGTTCTCAAACCATAAGTTGATAAGCCATCAGCACACCTATTTCCCTCCTTAAAAGTATGAGAAAATCTGTCATTTTTACTCCTAATAGACTCTATCATAAAAAGATTTCACAGTAAGTAAAGAATCAGTCTCAATTCATAGAGCTCTCCATCCTTTTTGTATAGTAATCTGAATATCATGCAAAACTCCCATAAGTTCTGCTTCAAACGTTAACTGTACATGAAGATATATTACAAAGCAGCCCGTAATTTAAACTGTATGAATTCCAAAAGATACCACACAAGCTAATTTATGTCCATGATCAGAGTATACTCCACCGGATTGCATTTGATCCATCCCGGTTTAGGAGAAGCTCAATCCATTTAATAATTTTATCTTATTTCATTAGTGTGCAAACAATAAAAAATGCCTTATTAATTTTGAATTCATTGATAGTAGAATGTGTGTTACCTGTTGCCAAAGAAGCAGAAAGAATGACAGCAAGAAAGATTATACTTTTGATATGTCTTGTGTCTATAACTTAATTGTACTCCTATGTCAAATCTCTGCTATTAATGTGTAATAATACAAAGCATCACTGTTGGGACCAAATTACTCCAATCCAATTTCCGTTAGGCTGCATAATTGTCATTATGCTAGTAGTGTCCAGCTTTTGATCAGTAATGCGTTGAAGGTATTTCCATTTCCACAATCTAGCTGCAAATGGACAGTTGAGAAACAAAAGATTTAAAAAAAATAAAATCCTAGGAAACCTAGCTAAGTATACAGGACGTCAGCCAAGAGGGTTTCCAGGAAATTGCCAAAATAGAAACAAAAAGTGGAAAAACACTAATAGTATGATGTGCTTCCATTTTTTTTATGATAATAGTCTGACATCTATTCTTTCAAGACTGACATAATGGTAAAGGGAATTTTGCAAAGATGAAAGCATGTGTTCAGTGCCTTAAGGGTGGTCTATATCTTCCAGTACCACCTTATTAACTCATTCAATTGTATAATAATGTTATATGATGTATGGTTTTCCTGATCATTTCTAAGTTCTAACTGTTTAGGAGAATCTGGAAAGCTGGTAGATAGCTATATATCAGATAAGATCTTGAAATTAAAAGAGCAAATTGCAACACTTGAGAAGCGAGAAGAAAGGTGTGTATAATTTAGGATCTATTTGGACGAGTTTCTATATAAAGGTGTTTAGGTGAGAAATATATGAAAAAATAAATGAAATTGACATCTCTAAATTTTTCTTTTTAATTTGTGCATAAACTAATTTTAACTTATGGAGAAGCCAATTTCATTTTTTTCTTATTTTTCTCTGTTAGAAGTGTTTATATGTCGAGAAGTTTGTGCAGTCCTTACTACCTTTTTTGTCATGAAGATTATTCCAGAATAACTAAAATACTGAAATATCAACAGATACAAGACTGTGTTTGCAGACAGAATTTCGGTTTTCCGGAGGGCATGCTGTGAGCTTTTTGGCTATAAGGTTGGTGACTTTATACTGATCTAGTTTTACTACAATAATTGTGCAAAGTGAAAGTGTTGTTTTACTTTCTTGTTTGTAACACCGCACACTTTTGATTTAGAGATATTGTAGCATCATGGTAATAGGGTTGATAATGGGAAGGATATTATAGAATGGATCCCCGTAATTGCGTTTAAAAAACATACCGTACCCAAGCTTATAGCTATGAAAATAGCAATTTTAATCTTCATTCCCATCCATGCTGAGTACTTACGTACTCATCCGTTCATCAGCAAATCAATAAAAATATTAATTAAAAATTATTACAAAATTTCACTCTTAGGGACAAGGATGTTGTTAATTTTTTATGTTATATGAGATTGTATTGAAGAGTTATTGTTAATATAATTGTTGGTTTGTCCAAAATCCGTTTTACGTCGTATATAAATCTGAAGGCTTACACTAAACTTCAGTCATTAATTTATCAAATATGATGGTTCAAATCAGTTTATGAATGTTGTAAATTCTTATTTGTTTCAACTACTATATGAATTTGACAACTTTCAACAATCATAAAATTTACGTTCAGATTTGGTATAAGTCTTTCGACTTGGGTAAATGGATCTTAACATCAACTTACGCTAAAGGATTTACTCATTTTTTTATAATCTAATATTAAAAATGAGTTACTATATTAAATCATTTAATTTCAAAAAAATTAATGATGAGGATGAAGAATAAGTTTTTTAAGTGAAACCTCTTCTCGTTCTTTTTCTATATATATAAAATAGCGATAAGATGGGGCAGGATGAATATTATAGTACCTGTGCTCACTCATCTTCATTAAAATGTGGGTAAAAATACTTCTCTAGTAAATGAGTATTTACTCCTTCCATTTGATATTTTTACCGGTACCCATAGATGCCAGGTATATTTTGTAAGACTTGTAAAACCTCAATGCATATTTGATTTATAATCAATATATTTTCATGTAATACTGTAAGATGCTTCTGTTTGGAAATTCAACCTCACAAAATAATATAAAATCCTTTCTGGGTAACTTGACTTGTTAACCATCCACTCTACACATATGGGTCTGTCATTTTCTCTGTAAAATAAACTTTCTGTCAGACATTTTCTAATGAAGTTATTTTCAAAACTGGAATAGACAATTTATTGTACGATAACTGACCCTATGTATCTTTCTGCTACTTTTAAAAAAATCCTTGTGTCTGTTGATAACTATATGGACAGATTGTGATGGATGAACACCAGCGACCAAATGGAATACCTGTGACACGATTTATCTTGCAATCCATTTATGCACTAAGTGATGATGAGAAGCTTGAATTTGAATATGAATCAGGGAATACTAACATTTTGGTAAGATGTTGAATTTTGTATTGAATTTAGAAATGAGAGAGAAATGGTGATTTTACTTGTTTAATTGTATACCTCTAGTTCAGAGTTTGAGTTTATCTCAATACTAGTTAAAAAATAAAACAAAATAACAGGAAATATGTTCTGAGGTTGTTTCTGCCTTTTGCAAACAATGCCATGAATACATTGCTAAAATTGTTCCATTTTTATTTTTTTCATGACAACAGGCAAATCATTATACATCTCTTCCTGAGGTTTCTCATCAGGTAACGAAGTTATAATATCATAATATTTCTCAATAACTACTTGGGGATCTGATCTCTTATTTGTGATTGTGTGTGATCCGTGAAGATTTTGTTTGAGCCATGGGAGTGTCTTCTTCTCACTTCTAAGTTTTAACAGGGAAACATTCCTTACGAAGGAGATATTTTTTTGGCAGTAAATATTTTCGGCTAAATGTTTATCCTGAAAATAGTGCATTTCCAGTTACACATTATAGGAAAGGAAAACATATTTTAAATATTAATTTACTATTTAATTAATATTGGAAAATATCTTATTTATATATCATGCTTAGAAACATAGAATACTTCATATACAATCTAGAAGTTGATTTTCTGAAAAACGGCCAGATTCCGACATTTATGAAAAATAACGTATGAAAAATTAACTGCTACCCGAATTCTGACATTTCTTATATATTGTTCGTAAATTTATTTGATTTGGTCCATTCAGCAGAGTGAGTGTGACTGTACGAGAGTTTGAGTATAGCTATAGATGGATTTAAAAACAGAATACTTCTGAGGAATGAGCGAATGACAATTGCCATCATGCACGTAATTTTAACAAATTCATGTTTCTTTTTCCGATCTTTCCTGTGTCCCTCAAACATTCCCAGGTGGAGATATTCGTTCGGAAGATGAATTCAATTCCTGCTTTCACTGCCAACTTAACGGTGGAGTCTTTCAATAAAAGAACCCTGTCTTAAATTCAAAGACCAACTCTACCACTGATTTTTTAGCGGGCAATTTACAGTTATGCTGTATATATCTTGCATCTTCAACGTGGGGAATTTGGTCAGCTAGTTAGGATTTTACGACTGGACACGTTTTGTATCCTGACATTGGTGATGGATGGCTTGGATTTGTAAAATGTCACGTTTCGAAAAGTGATGTGGAGTTTTGGGCGTACAGATATTCTGAGGTTTATTTCTTTGTAAAATTAAACTTTTCCTGTTTCGTTACTTGTTTTTTCAAGTGTTATGTTCTGAGCTTGTATTCCTTTATAAATCTTCCACAGGGAAGAACCGTATTTTATTTCTTTTTTTTTCCTTCTCCCCGCTGATATATTTCTGTTAACAAGATTTGAAGGATGTAAATTTGCATGAATTTGGCTCTGAGACAGATGATGTAAAGATTTTGACATATATTTAGTTAGTGCGTGATAAGACTGTAGATGTGATAATATATGCTTAATTGAAAACGAACAAATTAGTGAGGTCTAAATACGATGTGTTCCACATTTCTGTTGCCCTACATTGAGACAATTGTTGACCGTTTTTGCTCCTGCTTTTCTTAATCTAATTCCGTAGTAGAGCAGTGGCGAGAGTAGCGGCAACCCTGGAATGTCCTTGTGATCAATCACTTGTTGAAATGATTGCATGAAGCGTGGAGGGACCTAGCATTTCAGCCCAGCACTTGGCGCTATGGTAGGGATCTTATTGACCATGAATGGATATTCTAATCTGACTTTTTATAACGATGTGTCCCTTGAGAGTATAGATCTATGTCATCAAATCAAATTGGTGGCATGTAATCGAAAATTATAAAATTTGAAAATAATTACAAAGTATTGACGTGAGAAAATAAATAAAAATCTAGTCCCATATTGAGAGTTCTAATAATGTAAACTGTGATGATGGGAGGGGTCTGTATGGGAAGATTATAGATGAGAGAGAAAGAGAGAGGTGCAACTGCAAGGGGTCTAAGAAAGAGAGAGGTGTGTACACGGTAGTGGATATATTTATTGATGAGACGAGGACTGAAAGTTGCGATTGAGTGGTGTGTGTTGGCCAGGTTTGCGGGTGGAGTGGAATGTTTAATGCACTTCCATTTCTTACATCGCTAGCTTGCTAAAGAGTATTAGTTTCTGGTTGTACCGATGATCTCTTTGTTTTTATTTTACCTTTGTCATATGGATAGTTGCTTTAATCATGATTATTCCACACAATTGCTGTTTCATAATTAATTAATTCATTGGGTGATGATAATGGTTGCACAAATGAACCATAGCAGCCGTGGAGCGTGCAAATTCTCAAAACCTGTATCTGAGTTTAGTGCTTGACATTGACCGACCGCACAAAGATTCTAAAACTATCCACATCAACCAATGTCCAATTAAACTATTTTCTCTCTCCCTCTTTCTCTCTCTCTGCCCAGATTACAATCCACATCACAAGAGATTTCAATTTTCATCTTTTCTCAAACGTCAAAGATCCATTCATGAGTATTTATAGACATAATCTATATTAGTCTCTTAGTAAAATTTGCACGGAAGTTATCGTATTAACATGAGTAATGAGTTTATTTTCTATTTGTTGGTATGTTCATGCCATTAAGTATAGCCAACCTGATGTTCGGAAGATTATCTATTGGAAGAGAAGGACCGAGGTTAAAGTTGTCTTAATTTGGTATCCACCCTGTTTAATGGTGTGATTAATAACACATGTCCCTTCTTTGTAGTAAAGAATAATTGCATAATTTAGCTTCAAATTAACTTTGTTAAACGTTGTTTGTATAAATAACTCTCATCCTAATATTGCATATCTCTGTTTGACGTTTAACTAACAACTTTAATCTTGAAAGTCCTTGCCTACTGAAGAAATTTCACATTTTTCCTAATTTCTTCTAGAAATGGGAAATAGAGTGCGATGCGTAGGGGCTGTAGGGGCGTAGAGGCGTAGAGGTGGAAGTGGCGTAGGCAATAGGAAAAGAGATAAATAATTGTGGTGACGTGTATGAGAAACAGTACTTTATAAATGAAGTGAATCATTATGATTGTGAGTGATAAAAGTAAATTAAACCAACGCTGGGAAGGAGGTAGATTCCACTTGTAGCCAGTTTTGTGGCATTTCAAATTTGAGATTTCATGATTCACACGTTGAATTCAGAGCTCACAAGCCAAATAATGCAACTATTTTGACATTTTTCTTTCAAGATATCATATAAAAAAGAGGAGAAAAGAAAAAAAAAAGGTCAAATGAAAAATTGACTCTCCTCACACCCACCTCACAAATCAACCATAATGAGCCATGCTTTCAAATTACATGGCCGTTAGTAAATGCATACAAATTTGAATGCAAGGGAATTGCATGGTCAATTTTTGTTTGACTTATAATATTTGGCGAAGTATGAGGTTGTGTTGGTGAGAAGATGAATGGTAAGGTAAGTAAGTGTGTGAAGCAATATGTGTTGGGAAGTGATGAGTCCTGGAAAATAAAGGATGGTTTAGAGGGAGGGATTGACCCATCTACCGATCCAACCAACAACACATATATCATAATACCATATCACACCATCCCATTTTTTCACTGTTCATTTGTTGTGCTTTGACAAAACTTGGTACAAGGGATTGCATCCAATCCAATTTCCTTTGAGTTGACTTGATTAGTCTCAACACATCAAATCAAATGGCCTTTTAATTTTAAGGCATTCAAATTCGCACCAGAAACTACCCACAAGCCCACAACTAATGACTCACAAATGTACATATGTATGCATGTACACAGTGGGTCAATGAGTTGAAAAACAAGGGTTAGGCTGAGTGGGTGGATTGGTGAGTTCTAACCTAATAAGTAAAGTAAAGGTTTGAAATTGAAATATATAATATATGCCTTTTCTGCACCGACACACATAAACTAATGGCCATGCCATGCAACATTTGCCTCCAAAACTACTATTACTCTCTCAACACACGTCCTTATAATCATCTCTCCCATTTCAGCTTCTCAAGTTCATGACTTCGTTCAAAGTACCTAATTTTCCACCACTCATACACTTTCAATCAATTTTGACCTCAATCTTCACATCTTTTCCTCACTCTCACTCACCATTCCACCACCGTTTTCCCTATCTCATCCCCATCCCACTTTACATTTACATTTTGGTGGACCAAGTGGCGGATCTTGAGAGTTAGGGCTCTTCAACCCTTAAAGTTTTATAACTCTTATGTAATTTATAATTTTAACCGTATTTATTTAGTATATTTACAATTTTATACTCTCATCACTCCTAATTCTTATATAATTTATGATTTTGTTCCTCAAAATTAATGATTATTTAATATATTTATTTATATATTTATAATTTTATCTTCTCACCTGTTTTTTTATCTTTTTATATTTATTTATTAATAATATATTATTTAACCCTAAAATCAATGATCAAGATCCGTCACCAAATAGAATATATATATCATATTCTTTCCTACTTTGAATCTATCAAGGTTCATTTATTCATTGATTAATACCTGTTTGAATTGTTTAATTAGTCTATTATAATTACCTTTTATAATCACATGTATAAAATATATGTCTTTTTTGTTTTAAATATGTTACGTAAAAGACAAAATTTATTAAAATATTTATCTTGTTTTATTAGTCTATATACAGATGCATAATCTAAAACCAATATATATATATATATATATATATATATATATATATGTGTGTGTGTGTGTCACAAAAATGTACGAGTAGCTAGAGATAGTAGCTCTTCACACCTACCATGGAAACAATTATAAGATTCTCTGAATGAATAAAGTTGAATGTGTATGTTTCCATGTCAGATTCAAAAAGATGTTCCTTCTTTTATTTAATATTAACGTGAAAAATAATTTGGAAGATGATATTATTATGACTTTGTGTAGCTGGTGCCATTAAGTGAGACTTTTCATTACCATCTCAAAAAACACGTCTTGGCTTTGTTGGAAAGGAATTGTTTGGATCAACTTAACTTATGCTTTACATATGGATGAATAAATAATGCTATTTTGATGGACAGAAACCAAAGAGAGGCCAATTAGCCTTTTTTGACTTTCATATAACATCATATAATTTAATTCGTAGGAATGGAAAGTAAGAAGAGATAAGGACATGGGCATAAATCCAAACAAGATAGTGGTTTATAATGTTATTATGTGAAGAGAGAGAGAGAGAGAGAGAGAGAGAGAGAGAGAGAGAGATAGTGGTTTATCCAAATAAAAAACGAACTATGGAAAGTGGTAGTTTGCAAATTGTGAACATTGATTTGGGTGAAGAAGAGAAGAGAAGAGAAAATATTGCAGTTTGCTTAGGTAGGATGGATGCATGTGGTATGTCTCCACTTGTCTCCCACTTTGCTATCAGAACATCTTTTTGCATATTCAAAAATTTATGTGTTCTTCAAAATCTCTTCTTTTTTTTTCTATTATTTACATTAATATTTCTCCTTTCATCCCTATGACATTATTTTCATTTCTCACTGCTCAAAGTTGACATAAGTTAATATATCATCTCTCCTTATAACGTTAATCAGAACTCAATTGGTTTTTAGTCTCGAGTTATAATTTTTTTTTTCATTCTTCAAATATTTTACTTTACCTTTACCTTGTATTTAATAAATTATTTTATAATTTTTAAGAAATTCAAATTGAATTTTGTTGTTTTAAATGATTTAACTTTTAAATTATTTATTTAGATAAAATAATTTAAATTTATTTAATTTTAATTTTATTATTGAGATTAAGTATTTTAATTATTATCAAATATAAAATTATTATTACTAGATTTGTGAAGTAGATTCATGGTACATAATTCTTGTTTATATGAATTAGGTTAAGACATATTATGTTGTATTCGATCAAGTAGAACAAACAAATAAAACTGTGGTAAGTTTGAACTTGATAAAGATAATTTACACTAGGTCACAAATGTTGAATTAGGTTGGGTTATATAGGTAGATTAAGATGAGTTGGGTTGTGTTGTGTTGAACTGTGTTAAGATGAGTTAGACTAAGTTAGAAGGAATTGGACAATGTTTAATCGAGTTTAATCAAGATTAGGTCAAGTCAAATCATAATTAAATAGGATAGACTAAAAGGAGATAGCTTAGGTGATTGTAATAAATTATAAATAATTAGAATAATGACTCAAATCTAAACCATAAAAAAATCAGAGTTTAATTGAAAAGTCATTCTTAAAGTTTAAAAACTCATGATAGAATTAAGAATAACCTTAAAAGTTTAATATATAAAAGAAAGTAAAATACAATAAAATAATAATAGAGGAAATATAAATTACAAAAAGTAAATAAAAATAATCTAGAAGAGAAGAAAAATATAATCTAAATTATCATTAATTTATAAACTTCAATATGAAATTCGTACAAAAACAATAGAAGAAGATGTAAAGTCTACTTTAAGAACTTGATAAAAAGCTATTGAAATTTTTTATTCTAGATCTAAAAATAGTAAAAATAAATGATAACTTATGTTTTTTACCTTTTTCAAGTCTTTGTATACAACAATGAACACAATTAAAACACACAGTATCCATATAAAACCTAAAATAAATTATTAGAATTATATAGAAGTGAGTTATGCAACTTTGCATTGAACGAAATTTATTCTTTGTTGAGCAATATGTCAATTAAGTTAGTTGGTCAAAATTTAATACATTCATCAAATCTTTGCTAAACAAATTGACAAAATCAATAATGATTTTTCTGAGTAATTCATTAAATGAAATATAGTTGTTCTTAGCAAATCTCCATAATAAAAATTTCTTTTCATCTTTAATTTATCATTTATTCATCAATGTGTAAATAATTAGTTAAATATACAATTTAATTAATAATTCAAATACAAAACTATGTTAAAAATAATTAATTAAATAATATAACTTATATATAAAATATATTAATAAAAACATTTTATTAATGTGTTCTTCATCAAATGAAACCATACACAAGATATGTGTGTGATTAAGAAGGATCAAATAAAGATTAATCAGGTCAAATCAAGATCAATAAAGTTGTGATAGATTGAGTTATGTTTATTTTAGGTAGTTGGATGATATTTGAATAGGAAATGTTCGTTCAAGTTAGGACAAACAAGGTCAAGATGGGTTGATTGAATGTAAATGAGTTACTTATTATCAATTCAAGATGAATTATGCTAAGAGTGATGAAGTTAAATTAGTTCAAATATGATTAAAACATGTCAAATTGGTTTGAATCAAATCAAGACATGTTAGATTGATTTAAATCAAATTAAGACGAGTCAGATCCGAGATTTAATAATATATAAATTAAAAAAATTCAAATTCTTATTTTAGGTGAAATTTAAAATTCTATTATATTAAATAATCAAAGTATCTTTATCAAATTCTAAAAACTTAATTATTTTTAAAATTTTCTATCCAAATAAACAATTTTATTATGAATTTATTTCAAACTTTTTATCAAAATAAATTATCTCAATAAATTAAGTGAATGAATTTGCATTTTAAGTTTGGTATCTATAAGTTCTAATACTAATGTCATATATGGACGAAAAGTGTCCTATATTTCCATGAAAGGACAAAGAGAGAATATAAATATATGAAAAAGGAAATAGATTTGGCAATGAATTCGAAAATGTGAACATTATTTTGTTGATAAATGATGAAGCAGCGACAACCTTTTGAAAATGTCTTCTTGTCCAGTTATATTATAACACAACAAACCCCATTGCTAATTCATTCTGAAACTCCAATCCTAGAGTAGTTAACTTATATTAAAAATAGTACGAATAAATTTTTTAAAAATAATTTAAAGTATAATTAAGAGCTAAAAGGTAGAAAGTATAGGTAAAACCAAATAAGTGAATTTACTTAATATTAAAGAAAAAAAGTATTGGGATCCTGAATCCCCATATTCAAAAGTAGAATCCACCAACTTTTTTGTTTTGAGGATATTTGACCTTTAATTGGTGGGTATATCCTTTAGAAGATAAAATAATGGTAAAATGTAGATTAATAGGGTTTGTGCATAATTGCATGGTGACCATAGAGTTGGAAAATTGGGTTGTGAAATGAGTGTTGTTAAGGAAAAAATAAAATGTTTCCACTAATTGAATCCAATGGAAAAATGAATGTGGGTTAGATTAGAGGAGAGGTCAACAACATTAAAGTCAACAGCATATTGGCAATGCCATATTCACATGTTAAGTATTGTTTTGTTTGTTCATATATTAATAACGTTATTCAAACCTCTTAAACGGTTTATCTTGGAAGTTAATTAAATATTTTTATATTTTTTTACAACTTTAATTTATTAATATTAATTAAGGTGGTATATATCATTTAAATGATTTTAAAAAATATTTTTCAAGAGTTATTTACTCTTAGTTACGTATGAGAATAAATGCATTAACTAATTTAGAGTATAACTTTTAATGTGACAAGAGATTATTTAAGGTATAAATTATTCAGAACAATACAGGGTTAGAGTTGATGTGGTCGATGAAAAAAAGCTGAAGGGAGAAGGAGAATAATGATATGGTAGCCCCACAGAAAAGAGAAAGAGGAGGGTCCCACATGAAGGAGAAAGATTTGAGTGTGAAGTGAAGAAAGTGAAGAATGAGGGTAGAAAACACAAAGCAGAAGACAAAGATGGATTTGAGGTGAAGCACTATAAAATAGGTGAGGTGTGGGTACAAGTGTGGTGTGGTACAAGAATGGAGGTGGGTAAAGTTGATGAAAATCATGCAGAATCATCCACTCTCGATTGGAGAGGGCGACCCTCTAACCCTGCCAAGCATGGTGGAATCATTCCCGCTGCTTTTCTTCTCGGTTCTCTCTCTCTCTCTCTCTCTCTCTCTCTTAATCATCATCCATTTCTCTTGCTTTCGCTTCTCACCGTCCATGGATATGATATGATCATGCACGCAGGGTTGCAAGCATTTGAGATAATGGCTATAGCAGCAGTGGGAAACAATCTCATAACTTATGTCACCAATGACATGCACTTCCCTTTGTCCAAGGCTGCAAACGTCGTCACCAACTTTGTTGGCACCATCTTTCTCCTCGCTCTCCTCGGAGGCTTTCTTTCCGACTCCTACCTCGGCAGCTTCTGGACCATGCTCATCTTTGGTTTTCTAGAGCTTTCTGTACTCTCTCTCTCTCTCTATTACTTCAATATTATTATCATCGTTCGTTCATATGGAATCTTCACCTACCATTCTTTTTTCTTTTAAAGTATTAGTTTTGGACTATTGGGTGGCCCATGCGTACTTGTGTTGTTATTCAGAGAGATGATCTTGCTTACAGGGTTTCATATTGCTCTCAGTCCAAGCTCATGTTCCTCAGTTGAAGCCAGCGGCGTGCAATGTGTTAACTGACGGAGAACACTGCGTCGAAGCAAAGGGCTTCAAGGCCCTGATATTCTTTGTGGCGCTGTACTTGGTGGCTTTAGGGAGTGGATGTGTGAAGCCCAACATGGTTGCCTATGGAGGAGACCAGTTCGACCAAGACAACCCCAAACAGTTAAAGAAGCTCTCAACTTACTTTAATGCAGCATACTTTGCGTTCTCTCTGGGAGAACTTGTCAGCCTAACCCTTCTTGTTTGGGTTCAAACTCACTCTGGAATGGACGTGGGTTTCGGAGTATCCGCGGCTGTAATGGCAATGGGATTGATAAGCTTGATATGTGGCACTCTCTATTACAGGAACAAGCCCCCACAAGGCAGTATTTTAACCCCTATTGCTCAAGTATACCATTCTTAAACCATTCCTCTATTTCACTAATATAATATCCATTTCTCTGTCTTTCATCTGACTCTTTCTTTCGGATTATGGCTTCATTTTTTTACTAATTCACAATTTTACTGTTAGAAACACAGAGGTTTACTTATTGCTAGTTCTCTGCATAATGATAATGTTTTCTTTCTCGTTATGGAACTCACAATTAGTCTTATCCACTAAGTAGGGTCATATAAATTAAATGACCCAAATTTGATTTTCTGATAATCTTTCTAACATATACAGTTGTTTATTATATTCTTGGGTTTGTCCCCAGTAAGTTGTGCATTTCTATGGATAATGTTGGCTCGCTGTTGGACTCTTAAACTAAAACAATCATGTTACCTTGATCTCGTATTAGGTTCTTGTGGCTGCAATTTTGAAACGAAAGCTGGTTCGACCATCTAACCCACAAATGCTTTATGGAAGCCAAAACAACACTGGTCTTCTTCTCACTGATAAATTCAGGTACTTATTCTTTTTAAGTTTGTTTCTATCGGTTTTCGTTTCTTTTTTTCCATTTGTCATCGTCTTACGAACTATAATTTTCGCAGACAAAAAACTTTATAAGCTTCATGATTCAACTTTTTTTACCAAGTTCCTAAATTTCTGCGATACATGCATTTGTGCCGATGGATTATATAACAAATTCTGTACACGCGCTACGTTTGATCAGGTTCTTGGACAAGGCTTGTATCAGAGTTCAAGAGGGGACTAACACAAAGGAAAGCGCGTGGAGATTATGCAGCGTTGCGCAAGTTGAGCAAGTGAAGATATTGCTATCGGTTATTCCCATATTCTCGTGCACCATCGTTTTCAACACAATCTTAGCACAACTGCAGACATTCTCAGTCCAACAAGGGAGGGCCATGGACACACATCTCACCAAATCCTTTAACATCCCTCCTGCGTCGCTTCAGTCCATTCCCTACATTTTGCTCATCGTTTTAGTCCCTCTCTATGACACCTTCTTTGTGCCGTTTGCCAGAAAATTCACTGGCCATGAGTCTGGAATCTCACCTTTGAGGCGAATAGGTTTTGGTCTTTTTCTAGCTACCTTTTCAATGGTTGCAGCTGCTCTGATGGAGAAAAAGAGAAGGGATGCAGCTGTGAACCTTAACAAGACCTTGTCCATTTTTTGGATAACCCCACAATTCTTAATATTTGGGTTGTCAGAGATGTTTACAGCCATTGGCCTCCTTGAGTTCTTTTACAAACAGTCTTTGAAAGGGATGCAAACATTCTCGACAGCCATCACATATTGCTCCTACTCATTTGGCTTTTATTTGAGCACAGTTTTGGTTTCCTTGGTCAACAAGATCACTTCATCTTCTTCAACTGGTGGTTGGCTTCACTACAACAACCTTAACCAGGACAGGCTTGATCTTTTCTACTGGTTACTGGCTGTCTTAAGCTTCCTTAACTTCCTCAACTATCTATTTTGGTCCAAACACTATTCTCATGCTCCTTCCCTGCTCCATGCCAAGGAAATCAATCCTTACATAGGACAAGACAATGTCCCGTAGAAACTTAATTTACTCTTCTTTTACTATCTATATACATATATAAAGCTATCAACAATTCTGCGCCTATAATCTCTTCAAATTACAGTTACTGTAAAGAATTATATATGAAAATTAATGTCGTATCGGGAAATAGCATCTTATTTCACAAGCTCATCTATTGTTACTCTTGATAGCTAACAAGATAAGATAATTTAATTATAATGTTGATGAATAATTCAAGCCATAAAGAACAAATTTATGTACGGATATGTATGTATAAAGTGTACAGTATAGATAGACGAGATTCAATTATTAAGTACACACAAGACTGTTTTCATTAACATTTTAAAAAAAAAGTACATGATGGGTTGCTGGAGCATATGAAACATGAGGTAAGCTCCATTTTTGAAAGACTTTATTTAGAGTTCTGACTTCTGAGAGATCGATGGAGAGATATGATGAATATGGGAGTTTATTAAAAAATATAGAAAAATTCGCACACGACTTTGGCATAAGAGATTTGTGGGTGAAATCATGTTTGAGAGGATGTTGTTGTTGTTGTATTTTACAATGATGTAGGGTTGTGTATGGAGACATGTCTGAAACATGTTTTACTGATGAGGGCAGAAGAGGCATTTAAAATGGCATCCTCGTAGGAGAATAGTGAGATGAAAATATTGTTGGGTAAAAGATGAACATATTCCCCCCACTTACCATGCCACCGAGCCCACTTTGGTCTCAAGTTTTATGATTGTGTTTCGCCTCCTCACTGCATCGTCTTTCTTTCTGTAAAAGTGGTTCCTTTCATATCCTCCTCTTCTACTTCCTTCTTTTTACTTTCTTCTTTTCATCTAAAGCTTTTAAAGCTTTATTTATACTTTTGGTTTTTCTAGTTCAATGTGTCTGCAGTTTTCATATTTTTTATGCTTCAAGTTGGTTCATAAATTTTAAAAGAAGATACTGGATCCAGTTGAAAAGCTTTTGACACAAAAAGTAAACATATAAATTTTCGGTAAATTATAACAAGTTTAACATAAAAATAATTTATACAAACCTTTCTATAGCTTGGGTATATTTCCAAAACCTCCATAGTATAACTCCCACACGTTGCATCCAAATAAGAATAATAAATATTAATAAAGTATAACTTTTGTAGAAATGGCAAAATTAGTAAGAGGGACCGATTATACATAACGAGTTGTTAATTTTAATTTATTAGTTCATTTCGATTTATTCTATCTAATCTAGGCAAATTGCGTCGCGTCTTATTTTAAATAAATAAATATTTATATATTAAAATAAAAATATTATAATTAAAAAGATTATATATTTTTTATGTTATATTATTGAAATATGTAAATATATTATAATATTTTAATTTTAATTATAAATATTAATCAATTAAATTTAAATTATTTATTATAATTAGTTATTTTAATATTTATATATAGTAATTATTTATTTATTTAATAAAAAATTAATAAAAATTAAAAACATAAAAAATATTCTATAATTAAATATATATTTTAAAAAATATATATAAAAAGATATTAATTGATTAGATCATCAATCCTCAACTAACTTTTTAAAAGAATAAAATAGGATTTGTAATCCGTTATAATTATATCTTATATAATTATATAGACCAACTAATCTCATTTTTAACGGACAGGACAAACTCAAATAAGATAAAATAACACGTTTTACCATACTTAAATTTTGTGCTTTTGACATCCCTAAATTTGTGCTTGTTTTTTCAAGAAAATAATAATATTTTTTGGACAGGGAGTGTTAGGAAGGGTGTGAATAGCATATGCATGTGTGAATAGTAGTATTTGAGGATAAGAGGAGGCCCGAAAGGAATTGGGTCTTTAGAAGGCCAAGGGAAAGCCCATGGCGAAGATGCGATATGATGATGTTTATGATTTGGCGTAGAGGGAGCGAGGGAGGGGGTGAAAGAATCGAAAGAGGAAGAAGGAGAATCAGGGTTAGGGTTAGGGTTGTGGTTGTGGTAGCGGTTGTGGAGAGGAGATGCAAGGCGGTGACGAATTGAGCATAGAAGAGTTGGCTTCCAATCTTTCCCTCTACAAAGATCAACTCCACCAGGTAAGCTCAATTCAACTATTCACTCACTCACATCTCGTTTCCTCAACCATTCATTCCTTCTTCAATCAATCTACAGGTCAGACAGCTCCTAAACGATGACCCTTCAAATTCTGAATACGCTGACATGGAGAGGGAACTTTCCGAGGTACGGACCCTTTTGTTCTATTCCTGCTAAGTATTAGCACACCACTTCTTTTACTTCTTCTGAATACCACTGCTCCGCTGGTTGCTTCTTTCTGGATAAAGGAGATCCCTGCCATAGAGATATCAGAGGGTCCTTGTATGCTAACATGTCTGGCCTTCCCGTGCACCATACTTTATATTACTAATCAAACTCATTTTTTGAATTTTCTTGGCTCTAAAAGGTGAGGAGCGTACTTGTATTTTATTTGGAACTGCACTGCCGCAATTTGTAACTTGATTCAAATTGCTCAACCTCAGGACCATGACAAAATTAATAAGTGAAAATCTTACATATATAACAAAACAAAAAACCAAAGACAACCTCGTCAAAATGCCCATCACGTCTATCTTGGTTCTTGTGCAGGTGTGCCCTCTGTCGTGATGTCCAGCATGCATTCTCCCCCTCACCTGATATGAGATGTTCACACTGAGATTCTTCTATGTTAGAATTTTGACATTAATTTTGGTTTATCATGTAAACATTTTCTGAAAGTACTTGTTTTACTGAACTCCAAATATGTGCCCTAAAATTGTGTTACACAGGTCATTGCTTTGACGGAGGAACTCCTTGCAACTGCAAAGCAAAATGAAATCTCTGATTCAACGGATGTTCCTCATGCTGGTGCATCTCCAAGTTTGTCAATACATAAGGAGAATCAAATGGTATATGCTCTGCATTCTCATTTGATTTTGGACTTTACTTGCTTGGCCTGCAGAACATGTCTGTTATATTGCTGTTCGGGAAATTGGAAATCTTGATAAGGAAATATGGGACTAATTTTGCTTAGTTTTTTTTTCTTTTTTGGTGACATCTGCCTTTTATGTACTCTTCTTTTCCTGATAAGGGAATATAGGAATTTGGAAATCTTGATAAGGGAATATAGGAAATTATGTTTTCATGAATTTATGTGTGATTTGATCAATTATGGATCAGACCAAGAGCCATTTCAATGGGAGATTCTTATAAGAATTCCTTATCAATAAAAGCAATATTTTAATGTGGATTCCACAAACATGAGTTCCTTAAAATTGAAGGGAGTTGCTTATGTAAGGATTTTTTTTTTTCAATTTTAATGAACCCATGTTAATGAGACCCTCATTAAAATAGTATTTTATTGATGAGGATCTCTTACAAGAAACTCCCAATGGAGATGCCCTAATGTACGATCACACTTTATTATTGTGGTTTGCTACTTTGCTTATCTTATGGAGTAGAAATGTAGAATTATTGTTGTGTTGAGTCTTAGGTAAAGCACCTATATTTTTAATAGGTTTTCTTAATATTATTTTTTATGATAACTAAATTTGTTACTGTGAAACTCAACAAATTTATGTAGACTTTTAACTTTGACAACCCTACATAGATAGAACTGCTTGTTCATGATTGCTTTCGATTGATAATTAATGAAATTACAAACTAGCAGAAGTTTTGGAGGAAACAATTGAAATAATCCCTCAATCTGATGACTTGTACGCAATACTTTTCTGGTTATTGATTATTGATGAAATTAAGAACTAGCAGAAATTGTGGGGGTAACAATTGGAATCATCTTTGAATCTGATGACTTGTAATGTTATGTTGTTTCACTTTTAACAGCTGGATAGCAGTTCTGATCTTCAAGAGAAATTTCTGATTGGCACCAAAGTTCAGGCAGTTTGGAGTGAAGATGGGGAGTGGTACTGTTGTCTATCATTGTTTTTATCTTTCCATTTCATTTAAGTAAGTTTACTGTGTTGTTCACTTTTTTGTATTATGAATTTCCAGGTATGATGCTACAGTTGAGGCTTATACACCAAATGGTTACTATGTATCCTATGACAGTTGGGGTAATAAAGAAGAGGTAAGGCTCGTAAGAACTACTTGATACACCATGATCTCCATTGCTAGTCATAAGGTGTCATATATGGTCTATGCATAAATTGTGGTCTAAATTCTTCAATGCTATTTGTTTTATGTTGTATGGGTATTTTCCTGCAGATAGGAAAATGGTGGAGGGATTGAGTTATAATCAAACTCAAGAGTTTACATAAAACTATTGAAGCTTTTGTGAAATTGACTCATAGATTCAACTAATACGAGTTGACCTAATATAAAAAAAATCTATTAATGAGATAACCATAACATAATATACTTTCAATACAAAAGTAGTTCAATTAATAGAGAAAAGAGGAAAATCTCAATAATAAAGTGTGTTATGGCCTGTTTGGACTAGCTTCCCCATAAGATCTTATTGAAGAGAAAATAAGAAGAAAAGATGAATTTAACTTCTCCAAAAACTAAAATTAGCTTATGTACCAGTGTTATTGATATTGAGGTTGGATTATGGAAAATATTGGTAACATAGAATACCTTTACAAAAATGTATCAAGTCATTATGGGTTATGGTGGAAACATCACGGACCAAAATATAATACAATATATTCAAATAAATAAACAAATGATAATGTATAATTTTATATGAAGAAGCTAATTTCAATTTTTTCTTTTACTTTCTCTTCTAGAATGAGCTTGTGGAGAAGCTCATCTAAAAATGTCCTCAGTACATTATTGCTGAATAATATTAAATAAATTACATAGATGAGTACATCATATACAAAATCATAATACGCTAACTACATACGAGGGAGTTAATTTACTCAAATAATTTGGGTCTAATAAAATATTATTGCTGTTGGTAATAGTCAGGCAAAAATTATATTTGATTTCAAACTCTGTTTGAGTTGAGAGTTTGCTGCGGTTTTAAAGAGATCACCTGAGTTAACTAAAAAAAGATTTTCTTAGCGAGCTAACTTGTTTTCCTTATATAGGATTGTAATCTCGGAAGAGTTTAAGAGTTAACTTGAGAGTTTGACTACCTTATGAAAGTCCTATGTCTTTTTTGGGGGATCCATATGGGATATTTCTCATACACATCATTTATAATTCATCATGTAAAGAGGAGGTCCCAGTTGTTATTTTACCATAAGAAGACACTTGGATTTGTAAGAGAGGGATTCTGTACAAGGAATTTGTGTTTGTTTGCTATGTTGATCAAGTACAATCGGTGATGTGTTGTCAAAGAATTGTATTGCTAATATATAATTAATCATGCTCATAGAATATGTTGACCACAAATATATGTCAATGCCATAAAAGAAGTCAAATGTTCATCAATTACAATCTAAAGCATATTTTGTTATAGAAAAACATTCCTACAACTCTCAAATTTCTTAAATATCATGAAAAAAGTCATGTGTTGACAGTGGTTGTTTATTACAGGTTGATCCTGCCAATATAAGGCCAATTCAAGAAGGTTCTGTTGATGCTTTGTTAGAAGCCGAGCGAGTTGCTGAAGCTACAAAACAGGCTATCAAAAGAAAAATTGCACAAGCTGCATCTATCGATTTACAGTCTCGCAGTCTACCTGCAAAGCTTCGTATAGAGGCTGATGACCCTGAGGATGTGGTGAGATGTTTCAGCAAATTTTGTATCTCTATCTGCAAATGATTGTTTTCAATATTGATGAAATGCTTGGATTTTCTGTTTTTCTTGTATAGGGTTCTAGATGTAATTGGATTAGTCTTTTATTCTTATGTCCTTCCAAGAACAAAAGTGTTTGCTAGTGGGTTCTGGACCTTTTTGTTTATGGTTTATCTGCCACTTAGCTACAATGCCGTTGATGACATGTTTTCTCACTGAATTACAGAAAGCTTCCAAACGCAAGAAAATACATGCCTTTAAGTCCAAGATGCGGATGGAGCAACTTGAAGTCACACAAAATAAGCGGCAAAATGCTTGGCAGCAATTTCAGTCAACCAAAGGAAAGGCAAAAAAGGTATCTTTCTCAATTTTGCAACTTTACACATTACATAAGTTTTTGCACCTTAATTTAGGTTCTATGACCATGGTAGTTTTCATTTAAGAATTGTATTGAATTCTTACTTTTATTTGTTTACACATTTTCTAGTAAATATTAAGTAATGAACTATGCCGATTAGTTCATTGGGATACAATAAGGCTTGATTGGATATGGTGTTATACCCTTATCCTATCCTTTATTTTATTCTATTGTATAATTTTTTTTTCTGCATACATTTTCCTACTAAATGTTGGAACTGCACTAAGCGATTTGATTCGTTGAATACAAGAAGGATTGAGTTAGGATTAAATTGTGGACAAACTTTCATTCTAATCAGGCTTGTCTTAGTAACATGGATAATTCTTATAGTCCCTCTTGTAAAGTTTAATTATCTTTTTATCAATTATACTACTATCTTTTTAGTTATATTTATTGTAGAGAGAGAGCAGAACAAGTTATTATGAATGATTTTGGACGGAAAGAAAAAATTTAAAATAGTAAGGTTACTATTCGAAAAAGATTAACAAATTTTGAAAATAATTTAAGTTAATGTTTATTTTTTGTGTGATCAAACTTTAAATGACAGATATTAAGAAACTTAATTACTATATTTTGAACAGAATGCAGGTGTTAAGGAACTATTGGTTCCTATTTCCTTTTTGTAGTCTATATAATGTTGTATTACCATGTATATATTAAAAATATCACTTATATTTCTTTTTTAAGAATAAATAATACCCCGACAATGTATTTTATTTTTTTACATTATCATTCAATCTCAGGCCATTGTAAATAGTAATTTGTTCATTTTTATTATAACTATCTTAAAAGTCATCCACAAAAACTATTTCTAGTTGATTGAACAAAATACATTCGCAGTGACACTGCATACCTGTTAAGTAATTTTTAAAGCAATACATCTTTATTGATTTGACACTATGAACATGTATATAAGATGTTAGGTAGATTGTGATTGATTATTGCATTGTACACCCTTGTGTTTAATAATCATTACAACGGGACAGGTATGGTGTATTTTGTAATATATTTGTGGGATGAGTTCAGGATCTGAACATAGGTGGCAGTGTGGGACAGGACAGGTTTTAATATTTTTGGAAGGTTCAGGTTGTGTATATTTTTATTTAAAATACTCGCATGTAAAGGATTTTCTCTAAGATATTATCTTGGAAAAACGTTTCAATCGAATGTTAAAAATATAAGAATCTCTTGCTATCTTTGAGAAGGAAAGGCATTGGCTGTAATCTTGCTAAAGCTTTTGCAATTAGGTAAAGTAGATAGTTAAGTATGCAATTGCTCGTTTCATTTTTTCATTAATTCATATGATTTTTGTATACAGATATGGTTTTTTACATGCTTAAATTGAGTTTTTAACAGTGATATTTTCGTTTTGGTATACTTTCGATTTGTATACAGATTGGTTTCTTCTCTGGAAGAAAACGGGAGAGTATTTTCAAATCTCCTGATGATCCTCACGGAAAGGTTGGTGTGACGGGAAGTGGGAAAGGTTTGACAGAGTTCCAGAAGAGAGAAAAACATTTTCATCTCAAAGATGGTGCAGCTGAAAATGATGAATAGGTTATATGTAACATTTTTCACCTATTCACCTCAAGTGTAACTATAACATGCTCAAACAAAACTTCGCTGTAGTGGATCACTGATAGCAAAACCAACGATGTTATCCTGTGAAATGTGCTGAGACTGTTGTTCTAGATTATGCTTTTAGCCTCTAATACATATTTTTTTCCGTTTAACTTTCACTTATTTTATAATGGTGCAATTTTGTCGCCTTATCATTACGATGAATAGATGTCTTTTTTCTTCACACTGACGAGTCCATCGGTTCGCTGGTGTTGAGCATATCTTGACGGTATTTACCTAGATACATTTATCAACTGTTCATTCCTCAATCCGAGACGCCTTTCAGTTGTTGAGAGGATTGGTAATGTCTTTCCAAATGATAGCAAAGCATTTGCCTCAATGTTGAAAATATTCTTTACTTAAACCGTGTTCTTAAGCCCTGTATTTGACATCATGCAAGGTTGAAAGCCCAACAGATGATTAGATAAGCCCGAATATTTGGATAATTGGTAAGGTTTAGTGATTAATTTTTAACTTCTGTCTGAGATAAAATTTTATCATTATTTGATGGAAGTTGCTTTATTTAACTTAGATTGTCTCTTGAACTGAAATTGTTAGTCTAACCAGCGGTTCTGAATTTTGGGTTTCAAAAGTATATTTGTATTAAATGTGGTAAAATTATGTTTAGTTCAAGAATATTTTTACTATTACTGTTTTTAAGTCTTTAATAAATTTTTCTTGATTTTTAGAATTAGAAATACATAGGGGTAACATTTTTTAGTCTAGAATATAATGTTAATATAAGTAATGTAATTGATGGTAGGGTTAACATTTTTTAAGCAGAAAACAAATACTAGAAACTTTCAAGGAAAATTTTAGTGTATGCAACTTTCATTCTACTCAAATAGTCACTTGAGAAAGATATTTCATTATAACGAGGAAAGATACTGGTAGTCAATTATTTTTTTCTTCTAAATATAGTTGAACTGCACTATAAGTTGTAATAAGAAACTATAGATAGTTAAATCACAGTGGGTGAGACATTGCATAAGAAAATCAAAATGCACAAATATCTTCCGATGACTCAGATAAGAAGCCACAGAAAGAAACTGTTAAAGCATACATTGAAAAATAAAATGATACATGCATTAAAAAAATTCAAAAGAATGTCTTTACTTTTTTCCTCCCTATCTTTTATTCTTTTATCTTTCTTAATATTTTCAATTAATCAATTCATTATATTATGTTTTTCTCACATTTTTCTTATTCACATTATTTTAAATTTCTTTAATTAATTTATTTTTTTAATCTCTTTTGCGATTTAATAAATACAAAATTAGTTTTTCATTTTTAATTTATTTTTAAATATTATACATAAATCTTAGAAACATAGAATATTATTTTATTTTTAATTTATCTTTATTAAATTTTATTATATCATATTTTTAAATTTTATTATTTTTGTCATAATAAATTTTATCTTAATAAAATAGTTATATTTAAAAAAATTTAAAAAATTGATGATTAAAGTTTTTATTACTTTACACTAATTAAATAAGAATTAATTTATTAAATAATTTTATAAATTATATATTTTATATTGATTAATATTTTAAAATAATAACTCAAAATATAATTAACTTATATAAAATGTTTAATATAATGATATAATATATAATGATTATTATAATAATAAATATTTTGTATAAAAAATATTAAATATTTATTTATATATTAATTTTATTTTTTCAATCTTTTCAATTAATTTGAGAAATAAAGTTAAATTTTTAAAAAAATATTATACATAAACCTTAAAAATATCATATGATTTTATTTTTAATTTATATTTATTAAATTTTATTATGTTATATTTTAAAATTTTATTATTTTTATTTATCATATAATATATTTTATCCTAATAAAATAATTAATTTTAAATAATTAAAAAAATTGATAACTAAAATTTTTATTACTTTACACTAATTAAATAAGAATTAATTTATTAAATATTTTCTTATAAATTATAAATTATATATTTTATATTTATTAATATTTTAAAATGATAATTTAAAATATAATTAATTTATATATATAATAAAATATTTAAATATAATTATATATTATATAAAAATAAATATTCTGTATAAAAAAATATTAAATATTTATTTATATACATTTTTTAATATATATATATATATATATTAATTAATTTATATATATCTTAATTATTATAAAATTATAAATATTAATTTATATATAATAAATAATAAAATTAATTTATTATAAATGTAATTATTTTTTAAAAATAATATAAAATAAATACGGACAAAATGGAAAAAATCTGAAATCCAAACGAAGATAATATAAAGACTTGATTTCTAAGGCAGGACTGTTAAAATCTGTTGTCACGCCTAATCTGAATTTTGTCAGCTGAATTGCGACTGTAAAAGGATAAAGGAACTACATCACTTCCTCGCTTGACACTAGTTGCCAAGTAACCATTTATAATACAAAAAATAAATTATATATATATATATATATATATATATATATATAATTAGTAGAACTAAAACTTAAAACCAAATATTTAATTTCTCTTTAACCAAACATTGTTTATTTTTAATCTTTTTATATATACTTAGAAAGTTATGATGAAAACATAGCAATAGTAATTGAAAATGGGTACAGTAAGCAGTAAGATATGGTCAAACAATGCTCTACATAATATTACAAATTTATTGAAAGGGAGAGGGTCAGAAAGATATAAACCTAATTTGTAAACAAAAATTAGCAGCTATTGAAAAGACCTTCAAGTGAAATTACGCGGGAACACAAAATTATGACAAAAATATCCAATGATTCCTTAATATGTTGATTTCTTTTCCTTTTGGTTTCAATTTTTCCCTGGGCAATAGAGGCCGGCAACTGAAGAAGAGATAATGTAAGTAAAAGAAAAATGAATACAGAAAAAGGCAAAATCTTCGATCCTATACAAGAAATCACCACTCGTATTCGGATTGCTAGAATCGAATTCTTCTATGTTACAATGAAATGAACTAGTTTTCCAGACTCCTTCCATCAACTAGCGGAGATGTCTTGGTAGGTAATATTCCAACACGTCCACAAGGATGATAGACAGAAATTAAAGCTTTAGTGAATCATTCATTGCGGATTGAATAATATTTATCCCAGAGAGTTTGTGATTTCGATATTTCGTTCATAAGATTTTTGAACTTCACACTGCAATCTCCTCCACTGCATAATGCAAAAAAAAAAAAGAAAAAAGAAAAAAAAAGAATATATGTCTCAGCTAACAGACAAAAATGAAAAGAGAAACAAACATACATGGGGAAATATTTCAATTCAATAATAAACAGATCCCCATCCTCTCCCAGACAACGAGATTACGATATTTGTCAGAGAAAAGGCAATTTGTTCTAGTAATTACTAAGGGTGCCAGAAAAATCCAAACTTTTCAAGGGCGAGCATCATCTATAGCAACGCATGCTGAACAGTAAACTTATTACAATTTGTAAGAAACAGTTTTTTGTAACTTTTTCAATTAATAATACTACCACATAATATTCAATGAGAAATACACATTAAGATGTAAAACATAAACTTTGCCTACAAAAGGAAGTAAAGATCACAAGCTGATTTGAGTATCATTAAGTGGCGTTTGGTAACTATATATATTTTTTAGCTATTTAGTAAATTTATATATTTAGTAAAAGAAAAGCTATTTAGTAAATTTATATATTTTTTAGCTTCAAAGTTACTTATAAATTAAAAATTCTTTAAGTGTATTATCAGTCTGGAATAGAGAAGAAAAAGGAGGCAAAAATAGATGATTATATAAAAGCCTTCTTAGAATTGTGGTTGGTCCAAGTTTTCCTTTTAAGGAAAAGACAGTGAAAAAAATAGCAAGTCACACGCTACCTTATTAGATTTCTACGAAAGGCATTAATTTTACTGAGATGCTTTTTCATTTAATTTATTAAGCCAGAGGAAAAAGTTCGGTTCACAAACTGGTCAAAACAAACCTTATGCGGTTCAAGGATGCAATAGCTCGGAGTGCACTTCGAATCATGTCTTCATTACGATCCACTTCTTGCTTGACAGCATCTTGCTTCGGCTTAAAATTAATAGTCTTCTGGAGTGGATCAACCAATGAATCTAACACTGAAAGGTAAAATACGACTTAGGAAAGAGAGATACAACAGGGAAACGGCTTAGTACTTCAACTGAGGTAAAATAAACCTGCTAAGACTGCAGAAGGACACTTGTCAGATAGTTTTGAAAGTATCAGGTGGCATGGCATTTTAACATCATAGTGATCTGAAAACACAAATGTATCCTTAAAATTAGTACCAACGAAGGAACAGAAAAACAAGTGTGGATTCTGAATTCTTTGAGCATTATCAGTACAATAACGCATTCGACAAATTCAGAAAAGGGGAAGCTTGATGCTTTAAGCTCCCACAATGGACAGAGTCTAGAGAACACAGTTTCCGTGTTCTATTTAGCAGCAATAGTACAAAACTAGTTATCACTACTGTTAGTCAAAAAATAATCATACAAAATTGACATTTGTGCCAAAACGCTGTGGAAAACAGATGAAATATAGAGTTCATCTAAAGAAATTATAACAAGTGTTAACATGAAATTTAAATTATTAGATAAGTTAATCAGAAAAAGCGGGCCTTCCGCATGGGTAAGGATTTGGTCCTGTAACCTGAAGGTCCCAGGTTCCCTTGAAGCAGCCTATCCGCTTGCAGTAGTAAGGCTATGAAAGACAGTATTGTGCACTGGGTTCCCTTTTAGACGAATGAGTCGGAACCAACCAATGTAATCAGTGGTGATGGAGAAAAGATTATAATTAGTGCTCACCGTCCAAACCAGATTTAAGATAAGGAACAATGAATGATGAGGGGTTCACTTGATCAAGACAACTATCCAGCAATGTGTCTACGCATTCAAAAGCTGCCTTCCTTAACTCCAGTCCATCATCCACAATATGCTTGAAAGGACCAAGATCAACTGTCCGTATCAACTCTTGCTGTCAAAATTTCATAGTAAAAATCAGACCACCTCCAGTAATACAAGATCTATATGTTAGACATCTTTCTAGTAGCCTCAAAAGCCATTACAGAATGCATTAAAATTAAATTATACGTTCATAGGATCAGAGGGAATATAAAGTTGAGTTCTTATTGTAATGTTATATACTCAACAGAAATATATGGAACGGAATGTAGTAATTTAGGTTACCTTAACAATTGTTTGATCATATAGAAGAGGCAACAGATCAGGAAGAAGCCCCTTTATGAGATTTGGCTTATTGTGTGCAAATGTGCTTAGAGCCAAAACAGCAGCCCTCCTAACATGCTTCATGCCCATAATAACACAGTAATAATAAAGTTCAAACTTAATAACCATCGCAATGTAAGGAACAAATACACAACAAAAGGAAAATAGCATGTTATATTACTTAACAATCAGTAAGGTGATTAAAAACTCACCCTATCGTTATCCTTGATAAGCATCAGAAATGATGATGTTTCAGGGTATATAATCTCGTCTATCTTCTCTGGACGTTCAACTATAGAGTATTTCACAGCAATGACAACAGTAGCTCTAGTAAATGCAGCTGGGCTGGTTGTTCTTACCTATAGAAGTTTCAAAACATACAAACAAGATCATCAAGTACAAAACTTGCATATCACATGCCCTAGCCCTAGTACAGGATACCAAAAGAAAATTTAGATACCTTGAGTGCAGGAACAAGTTTTACAGGCTCAATTAGAGCAATTTTGCCCAAACACTCCGCCACTACATTGCGCACTCCCTCTTCCTCACTTTCACAGTGATTGAAGAGTAAATTAAGTATTTTCTCCACGCTGGACTCTTGAAACTCTGCTTTATCTACAGATTGTCTCACAATTACCTGCCAGATATGGGGCAAGAGAATTGTATATTTTATTATTAAATTAAACATTTGTGAAAAATCTTGATTGGGAATATATTAAATATTAGAAAGAAATCACAACCAACAGGATAGTGTTTGTAAGGCAACATACCTCTTTCAAAGAATGAAGTAAGAGATACTGTTTCTTCTGTTGATTATCAATCTGATCCAAGATAAACGGCAAGTATTTTGGAAGATTACCAACAGCAATGTTACCTAGAGCATATGAGGCAGCAGACTTGATCTCTTCAAAAGGGGACTGGAAAGATTCAATAACAATGTTTTCTATTTGTTCATGTGTACTTAGATCCTTCCTTCTACCAATCTCCCCCAAGCATAAAAGGGCAAGGTGCTGCTTAGCCTTTGAAAATTAAAAGGAAAAAGGCAAAATGATCAGTAGGTACAGAAGACATCAATCTATTTTTAAATCAATGTAATTTATTTCTAAATTGAGAAAGCGAGTTGTTGGGAACAAGCAATTCTACAGTATATTCTAAAGATCTTCAGAAAATAATCAAAATATCAAAATATGCTATGATAGTATGGCTTTCTATAAGTCAAATAATATGTAGATATTTTAACAGAGAGCATAAACATTTGAAAATAAAGAAAGAGAAATTGGAAATCAGAGGATAAAACTGATACCAGATGAATTTATAAACACCATGAACTAGAACAGGTAGCATCATCACAAATAGTTAATTAATTACCAAGGAGATGGATTATCAACAAAATATTCACTTATGAAGCAGATACAAACCATATTTGATGCGTTTTTTTTTTTAAAAAAAAGAGAGGATATAATATGTAAGAGAAACATAGCTAAAAGTTCATAAAATGTAATAAATATATAACTGCAATGGTGCAAATCCAAATTACAAGCAAATTTCTTAGACATTGACTGAGTAAAAAATTATAGATCATCGTCTACATAAATTATTATTACATATAAGAATAACACTATCAATCTCATTATTTTTATAATAATTAATAGAGAACTTGAGTTTTATGAAGAGACCATGTTTCTATATTTCTATTTTACACAAACTTGTATTTTTCTTGTGGTTTTACTTGATGTAAATACTTTAAAAGATTGAACATTTTACCAACATGTATGGTGAAGTATCCAAAACTGTCAGTATCTTACTCATCAAACATGGATGTGAAGCAAATTAAAATATTGGCGCTTCTTCATAACTGCACAGAAGAAACAAGAGAGAAAAAACTTACTGAGTTAGAACTGCTGTCATCCTTCAGAATGTCAGTAAGCATTTTCACTGTAGATGAACACTTCTGATCACCAGCAGCAAGGCATAAAACAGCCACACACTGAGCAATGGAATGCAAAGCTTGTTTAGCAATGCCACCTGACTGGGGAGAAGGCTTAGCACAGGCAAGCAGCGACTCCAGCAGAGAATCAAAACTAGTATTTGCAGAGTAGACTAAAGCAGCAAAAAAGTTTTGCAAAGCCTGTAGCATTAAGGAAAAGAAAAGCCCTATAATCAATATATTAAGCTTCATATAAATTGGGACAAGTTCAGACATGCATAAAAATTACCAAAAGTGCTTGCCCCTGCAACAATGAGCTTTTAATTAATGTTAGAGCTTGAGGAAGAACTTTGTTTCTAACAGCTAAACCAATACTTTGATTTGACCTCTTGTCGCCCATTAATGTGCAGCAGAGTTCCAGGGCAAGAGCTGTCATGTGCAAGTCAGAATCACTGAAAAACAAGCAACAAAATTAAGAAACAAAAAATGGAGTTAATCATTCCATATCACCTATACCAATGTACCGAGAGTAGATTAGTAAGAGAACCTAATTAGTCCAGACAGTTCTACAATAATAACTTCGTAAGCAGACAACACAATCTTATCACCATAAGCAACTATGAGTGAGTTCAAGGTTCCCAAGGTAGCCTGCCTTAGTGCACGATTAGCCTGTTTGCAAACCAGTAAAACAAGGGTTAGCATATTTCACATGTTACAGAGTGAAACTCTCAAGAACATAAGCACTTTGTACTTAAAAATCAAATCACCTACATGAAATTTCAATAAATGCATAATAAGCTCATGAACACATTACAGTGAGAAGAATAGCATACTTTTCGAAGGAATGCAGTCAACTCTGCTACCACATGCTCCAGAACACATGATAGATCCACCCGAAGTGGAGAAGCAGCAATGACTGCAAATGCCTGCATAAGAATGGCAAAGTTCAAGACATCAGCTACTAGCTCCACAATTATACATAACACATTACAATATTCCCATCTATATAATTGCACATTCAATTGCCAATACTTGGATTAGGGGAGTTGAATCCCCAGATTGGTTAGGTTGGGTATGTAGAAAAATTTACACCAAAACTGATTTAATATCCCAATACTTCACACACGGACAGAAAGTAACTCTCTTACTGAACACCCCTGCTCCACTTGGTTCCCCAAAAATGCCCAAGTTGTGAAGCAGTAGAGAAAATCTAATGAAGCTTCTGTTGCGATTTGAAACAAAACCTAAAATATCTGTTTAATTGCAAATTTATGAAGTTGCATTTTCAGTATGTTTATAGCTCTCCTTTCTGATTCCTTCAAGCCAGAAAAAAGACCTCCCTGACACTGGAACAAAATGTTGCCAATATCATGACAAAAATCCAACAGTGGCATTCATTTCCATAATTAAGTTTCATTTGAGATGAACAACAGGATGACATGGACATAGCAGCAATATGAATCAAATAATTAATGGCATGGTATGACTAAATATATTTAAAAAAAAAATAATACAACGTCGCTTGACTAACATTATAAACTTTTAGCCTCCATATTTTTTTGGAAAATATTGCCTCTTGACTAAAAATATAAACCACACTAGTATTATGTTTTCACTGCATACAAAAATGCATCTCGATAATTGTATGCAAAGTCTGATTTCAAAAATAATTGTACACTCATTCCCTATTTAACCTCTGTCAGCTCTCTTTTTATTAGGGAGTCATGGTGTGTCTCTTTCCCCCTAGTAATGTACAAGACATTTTGGATCAAAGTTAATCAGCTACTCAACCACACAAAAAAAATCGCAAAGAAACTGAACCTACCAGCTAATCTAATTAAAAAGAAACCATCAAAATTAATTTTGTTCTGATTCTCCCATAAAACATGTTTGTTTGGATTTCAAAACACCCCATCTCTGGATCATATAAAGGAGGGAGGGGCACCTAACAGAGTATTGCAATAATTCCAAAATTAGGGATAAATTCTAAGTATTTATGTTGAAATATCATATTTCATATTCATTACACAATAGTTAATATTTAGAAGGGTTGTTATATATGAAATTTATTTAGACCTCTATCTAAATTAAAAGTCATGGCTAGAAACAAAAAATTATATACACTATGGATACAATACAAGAAATAAACCTCTTAAGCCTTAAAACTTCCCTTATATACAATAAAAAGTTTTTCAAACATCACGATAGACAAGTTGCAAGCCAAGACAATTATCTTAATGCACCATATTCCACTGACCAACCTTGACAGCAGTAAGTCGGGTTATCTCATTTCCCATCCGATCAACAAGCACAGGAAGACATGCAGGTAATTCTGCATTTAGATGGTCGCCAAATGTCGACACTATGAGTCCCATGCAGGAGATAGCACACTCCTTAACTTCCTACAGAGGAAAAAGGTTATATATGATAAAACATACAAAGAAATTTCTACCATTATCCAACTAACCTGATCTTGATCTTGGTTTATTAAGCGTGACATAATGCCATTATATATGGGATGAACATATGGTCTGAAATCGAAACCAGATCCCTACACAACAATTCCATTCTGATTATTAGAAATAGGTCTAAACATTATATCTCAAACCAAAAAAGATATAGATATACCTCAATGTTTGGCCGCACAACCCGAACAAGTTCTCCACATACTCTCAAGGCCTCTGCAGTGACCTTGTAATAGCGCTCACCAACAGCTGACAGAACAGGAGCAGAAAGAGCCTGCGAATAGAAATATAAATGCAATTGATCCCAAAATGCAGCCATATGTTTATTCCAATACATGACAATAAACATAGCACATGCATATCCCTGCCTTTGCATGAAAGAGTGACAGATAAATTTAAACCAAATGTGTCAAGGAATTTCTTCAAGGCCCACTAAGCACAAAAGGTGGCGAATGCCACTATTTCAATTCCCTAAACCTTATTGAATGCCCTATTTCAAAAATACCCCAATGTTTAAACCAAACCATCATTGTCAATAAATATAATTGAGGTTAATTTAGGAAAAGTACCGCTTTATTTTATGAAAACAAGAATATTGAATGAGTTTAACTACTATTCTTAATCAGTGTGAAAGTAGTTAACTTCGATTTATAATTGAGTCCAATGGTAGTGGCTAGGTTAAGATGATGAACATACTCCATAAGTGGCATAATAATTAAAAAAAAGGGAGAAATAGTGAACTATAAACAATAAGTTACTAGCAAATGAAGATAAAATTAAAAATTTGGAAAAGATGAGAGGGAAAGCATTAGTATAAGTCATAATAATTTTAAAGGAGCATATTTTGTGGGACTCCTCTGAATTCAACACAATCATAAAGGGTATAGACATCGTAGATTGGAAAATCACAAAATTATCCACTTTTCTAAGTATCAATTTTAGTGTTTTTTCCAATCTGAAATATGATAAGTATGACAAACAGTCCAACCCACAAAATCATAACCTAAGGGTATGTATGACCTTCAACTTTTTAAACTTTGATGGAGATAAGTTATTGGTACTGGGTCTAGCACTGAAGCCTAGCCACTACCGTTGTTGAAGTTTTGTTGATTCAAACTCTGCTCAAGGAGTTAAAAATGCCAATTTAAGCACCTAATGTCTACTGTAAGAACAGGAGCAAAGTTGCTGTCTTTCATAATCCCATTCTTCAAGCTAAAATGAAGCAGTTTGCTGTATTGTATCTCTCCTATGTTAGTTAGCTTAGACAGTTAGTTAGTTAGTGTCCAGATACAATGAATCTGGACAATCTCCTACCCATAAACACTGTTGTACTCATTTCTTCAATGAGAGAAAATCAATTACAAATTACAGATTCAGTTTTTCTCTCAGTTTATTTAGTTTCTTTAGAAATTTTAACAGCAGGTATATATTAATGTTTTCACATGATAAAGTTCAAATAACATTGTTTACCTTGATATAAGGGTGAAAAACATCAGGAGAATGTGAAGATAATACCAATCTTGTAAATGTTAGGGCCTCAATCTTCAAATTTGAGGTAGATGATTTGTCCTAACAAGCAAAGAAAAGACAAAGCAATCAGTACTGGGAAACTAGATGAATTTAACATAAATTATAATTGAAAACAATTTTACCTACATTTAATGCTTTTTCAATTCCTGGAATGAGAGAACCAATGTGGTCTGCAAGACAGTTGGGCAATACAACCACAAGTTCTTTCAAAACAGAAAAGGCTCCAACCTGCATAGACAGTGATGCTTAAAATCTGGTGAAAATTTAATCAAAATTAATTATAAACTTATGTGACTACTACCTTTGTCTTGATAGATTTCTCACGCAACTGCCTATTTATAGATTTGACGATCTTTGACACTTCTTGCTTCAACAACCATCGAGGACTGCATTGTAGGTCAGCATTAAGACAGTCAATAATTGCCACATTTAGAGTTATTGTAAAACCAAGGTGTTATCTACATGAAAAGCTGAAGTGATAATGATTGTGGAAGTTCATTCATATCACTCTTGAAAAACAGATAAAGGTCATTAAACCAAAGGTGTCATTTTAAAATTTGGACGCATATTATGAGCACCTAAATGCAGTTGTTAGCTGTCATCTCCATAAAAGCAGCAATAAATATATAGGTACCAAACATGACAGTTTCTGCAAGATCACAAATCTTAAGGAGGCTACTACTGGATCTTTTTAAAAATATCCACCTGACTAAGATTTACATACAATAATATTATTTGAGTGTGCATCTAAAGTTTGAAATATGTTTAGAAGTGCACAATAAATTCAATTATGAATTATACAAATGAACATTAGCCACTTTTGAACATCAAAAGAAATAAAGATAAAATTAGATAGAAAGTGATACACTAGGAAAAGCATTAGCCACTTGCCTCATTTCATTTGCATCAATCTGTCCTTTTGTGACGTTTCCAGTTTGGCGCAAGAGCTCAATGAAAGTATTAAATACATCCATCTGCAACACCTCCATGTTAAAAAGTAACCTTGCGCTGTAAAGACCAAAAATAAAATCTTTATTTGGGCCTACCTTGACATTTTCTTCCCTTTCTTTGAATCTGTCAATTAGTTTTGGACAGGCCTAATAGATAGATAGGAATTTCAAAGTTAGATAGTCATGCAACCAAATATTATATGAGGGAGGGAAGAGCCTTACATTCAAACACCAATGGTTCTTTTAGGGATAAAACACTTATTAGGGCACTTGATATTCAAAAACAGAGAAAAAGTGTTTTAAGAGGGCTTGAAGAACCCCTCTCATAGTTCTCTATTTATATAGATAAAAACTGATACAATAGGGAGATTACATTAAAATCACAGTCCTAGATTACTCCTTAGAACTAGGTGCAGAGATTATCTAACACTCAACCCCCTACAGAGATTATCTAACACTCAACCTCCTACCTTAGGTATAATGATTACATATATTTTCTAATCTATTCCAACACTCCCCCTCAAGCTGGAGCATACAAGTTGTATGTACCAAGCTTGGAACAAATGAACTCAATCCGAGGTCCCCTTAAGGACTTGGTAAACACATCTGCGAGTTGGTCATTTGATCCAACAAACTCGGTACATATTTCTTTTGTCAACAACTTTTCACGAACAAAGTGACAATCAATTTCTATATGTTTAGTTCTCTCGTGAAATACGGGATTTGATGCAATGTGGAGAGCAGCTTGATTATCACAATACATCTACATAGTCTGGATATCACAAAAGTTAAGCTCTTGAATGAATTGTTTCACTCATATAAGTTCACAAGTTAGTGACGCCATCGCCCTATATTCGGCTTCAGCTGTCGATCGAGCCACTACATTCTGTTTCTTACTTTTCCATGAAATAATGTTTCCTCCAAGGAAGACACAATATCCAGTTGTAGACCGTCTATCAACAGGTGAACTTGCCCAATATGCATCACAGTACCCAGTGACCTGAATGCTTCCTTTATCTTCATATAACAATTCTTGTCCGAGAGCCTTTTTAAGGTACCTTAGAATGCGAATGATAGCATTCCAATGACCAGCACATGGAGCCTGCATGAACTGACTAACCCCTCCAAGAGCAAAAGATAGATCAGGCCTTGTAATAGTGAGATAAATCAGTTTTCCGACCAACCTCCTATATCTCTCTGGATCAGAGAATACTTCACCTTCTTCTGTTGTTAATTTCTTATTTGGGTCCATAGGACTCTCTACAGGCTTACAGTCAATCATACCTATTTCTTGTAATATATCAAGAGCATATTTTCTCTGAGAGATTACAACTCCATCTTTTGATTGAGCTACTTCAATGCCCAAGAAGTATTTTAGGCTTCCCAAATCCTTGGTTTGAAAATATCTGCACAAGTACTTCTTTAGTTGAGATATTCCAACACTATCATTTCCTGTAATGACTGTATCATCAACATATACTATTAAGTAAACACATTTACCCAGAGACGTATGACAATAAAAGACTAAATGATCTGCTTCACTGCTTCTTAGCCCAAATTTTTGAACAATGGAGCTAAATTTTCCAAACCAAGCACGTGGTGATTGCTTGAGGCCATATAGAGAACGATGCAATTTGCATACTAGTTCAAACTCCCCCTGAGCAACAAACCCAAGAGGTTGCTCCATGTAAATTTCGTCCTCAAGATCACCATGTAGGAAGGCATTTTTTATATCTAATTGATGAAGTGACCAGTGACGAATGACAGCCATTGCGAAGAACAGACGAATAGTGATCATCTTGGCCACGGGAGAGAAAGTGTCACAATAATCAAGGCCATAAACCTGAGTGTACCCTAACCGAGCCTTGAACTGATCAACTGCACCATCAAGGTCGATTTTAACAGCATATACCCAGCAGCAACCAACTGCCTTTTTGCCCGGTGGAAGGGGCAGGAGCTCCCAAGTAGCATTATGGTCAAGAGCCTGCATTTCTGCAATCATGGCTTGTCGCCATCCAGGGTGATCAAGTGCTTCTTCCACATTTCTTGGAATAGCAATAGAAGATACTGAGGATAAAAGGGAACAATAGGAAGACGACAACCTGTGATAGCTAAGAAAATTATAAATAGGATGTGGGTTTCGAGTGGAACGAGTACCTTTTCTCAGAGCAATGGGCCATCCTGAATCACCTCCACCAGGAGTCATGGTAGGAAGCGATGTTTTTTGAAGAATCTAAAGTGGGGGATTCACCCTGTAATACTTGTCAAGCTTCTTTTTCATTTCATCCAAGGAATTGACTTCCAAGAACATCTTTAGTTCTTCCACAACCGACTGGGCGTCATTCATAAAGGACACCATATCATGATCTGTCATTTTTAGAGATGCCAGCTTATTTGCGGAATCGTAGACACGTTGAATATCATTGGCATAAATGGTTTGAGCTTTCTTCCAAAAGGAGTGACAAGTTTTGAAGGCTCTAAGCGACATCAAAAGTCTTGGTTCCACTGATTGCCACAATAGAGCACATAGCTAAATATTTGCTTGTTTCCACTGTTCAACTTTTTCTTCCGGCACATGGCTTCCGTCTTTTTCAAGGTGATCGTGATGCCCCTGACCGAGAAACCACATTTCGACGGTAGCAGACCAAAATAGATAATTTTGTCCGTTTAGTTTTTCAGAAATAATGGAGGGGCTTCCAGAGAATGAAATTGCAGCCATTTCTGATCAAGAGGACAAAGACCAGTGAGGGGGGCCGAAAACAGCAAAGAAGTCCGAAAGCCCAAGAGTGATTTTCGCAAGGGTGACTAATGGACTTCACCGAAATGAAGTTCTAAGGGTCGGAACAGGGAGAGGAAGCTCCGGCGACCCTAATAGGAAAGCAACAACCTGTGATAGCTAAGAAAATTATAAATAGGATGTGGGTTTCGAATGGAACGAGTACCTTTTCTCAGAGCAATGGTCCATCCTGAATCACCTCCACCAGGAGTCATGGTAGGAGGAGGATTGGAGAAGGATATGAAGCTGGAGGATTATACCTTTTTGGGCCTCGTCCACATGTGTCCTGTGTTTCTACTCCGAGCCCTAAAATGTTACATGATCGGCTTGGTCATCCTCATTTGTCAAAATTAAAAAGAATGTGTCCTGAACTTAGTGGTCTCCAAACCTTAGAATGTGAGTCATGTCAACTAGGGAAACATGTTAGATCTACCATTCCTAAACGGTCTGAATCAAAGTGTACTTCCAGTTTCACTATTCTCCATTCTGATATTTGGGGACCCAGTCACATCTCATCTTTTGGTTTTCGGTATTTTGTTACATTCATTGATGAATATTCACGATGTACTTGGGTTTATCTTATGAAAGATTGCTCTGATACCATGTTAAGGTTCCAACATAAAACCAATTGGCAATATGTGGAGTAGCCTAACATGTATTTAAACCATACCAAATGACATGAGGTAGGCGACGTGGGACTTCTAACACACCCCCTCCAACGAAGCCTGTCGGACCAGGCAAAGGGTACTTTTTGACCAAACGAAAGGGCAACTTTTGGCCCAAGACAACAACCGGAAAGATGTTAGGCTTTGGCTTTGATACCAACTTGATATTCAAAAACAGAGAAAAAGTGTTTTTAGAGGGCTTGAAGAACCCCTCTCATAGTTCTCTATTTATATAGATAAAAATTGATACAATAGGGAGATTACATTAAATGCACAGTCCTAGATTACTCCTTAGAACTAGGTGCAGAGATTATCTAACACTCAACCTCCTACCTTAGGTATAATGATTACATATATTTTTTAATCTATTCCAACAAGGGCATAAGAATTAAAAAAATACCTAATCAAACTATGGACCCAGTAACCCTAATATTTAGCCAATACCCAGATATAGATAAAATTATATAAGAACAGCAATATCTCAAAATAAAGAGAACAATGGGATATTTATACAGAGATGAATTAGAAACTGATAGCATAGCTACCTCATCATACAGCTTTGACAAAATCTCAGGACGAGAAACAATCAATGCTGCTAAGCATTTAGCTGCTGCTCGGCGAACTTTCCAGCTGACATCTTCATCATCTGTATATTCATTTGCACTCTCACTGCAAAAGGTAGAACATTTGGGATGATTAACAACAATAAGAATATTATGCAAAAGTTAATCACATACTGCAGCTATGTGAACCAAAAAGCACGTACTCATCCTCCTCCTCTTCAAGACCTTCGTCATCAGTATCCTCCTCCATGTTGTCAGTGAAGTTTGGATCATAACTTAAATATTCTAGCGTCAGATGAAGAATTTCATCACAGTAAACAGAAATATCCCTTGGACACCTTAGAAGAAAGCTTTCCAGTGCCTTAGTAAAATTTTAACATTATTTAGATGACAATATAACACACTTCAGAGTACTAAGGTTACTGATAATAAACAAAAATGGCACCTGCAAGCTGTACTCGCGGAGCTCTTCATCATTTTCTGACGCATTAGTACAATAATTAATTAGCACTGGAACAGTGTCTCCAAGATGGGGCCCAAATCGGTAGCCAACAGCCCGACTGAAAATTAGTTCAAACTTGTTGATAACAAGAAAATCATATTTTCTCAATATTCTCAATATAAAATAAAAGAAAGCAAAAGGTATAGATTAATTAGAATACTAACCTCAAAGCACCAATCATCTGTATATTTGTACGTATCATTTCAGACTTTGCAACTTTATTTTTCAAGTTAGAAACAACTTCAACTGTTGCCTTTGCCAACAAATCATCTGACAAGCTTGAAGAGAGAGATGCTGACAAGATGAAAAAGAATTTAATGAGAAGTATAAAATCTTGCTTGCATTCAACACATCTTCAACAAAATTAAAATTGCGGCCATTTCAGGGTTTAAAACAGCTTGCTTCAAGGTATTTTCATTTTTAAATTAGTAATTATATGTAATAGGTTAAATTAATCGGAGTTCCATCTCAAACAACATAAAAATGGACTTGAAATATCTATTCCAATCCTGAACCTTGTAAATTTGTCTACAGTCCATGATCAATTTTTCCATGTTCTAATGATTTGCTCATGGCTAAATAACAGCCTTAAAAAATAAAAACATCAATTATTTGACAAATTTCCTAGTTTGAGACAAGTTCCAACTTGCAAGCAAACATTTGGTTAAAAGATAGTTTTCAATATAGAATACATGATGGATTAGCAATTTAGTCTGAGTTAATTTTTGTTTATCAAATAAAGTTCATAGTGAGATTTGCCCCATATCCCAGGTATCATGAAAATAAAAGTAAAATTTTCAAAAATCAAAAGGGTTCAAAATAGAATATAGAAAAGTCACAGATGGTAAAAGTTGAGTACAATTTCTCTCTAAACAAAATCATTACAATTGAATTCAACAAAAGTGAAGGAAAATTGAGGACACTCAAACTGCAAAAAGAAACATTAACTCTCTACTAGTAAGTAACAAACTTTAATCAAATACAGCAAATTTAAATTAATCTTACCGATGCATGCCACAGTCTTCTTACGCACACTAGCTTGATTAGAGCTCAACTGAGAAAGCAAGGAACTTAATAATAATTCGTGGTCAGCTGCCATTAGATTCCCAAATTTATGAAGGACGTCACACAAAATATCCAGAGATTCACATTTAATCTCAGAGCCCATTCCCTGCAAATGAGAACAGGAGATTATGACACAATGTCACTCAGAAAAACACTAAACAATCAATGCTAAAAGTAAATCTAGAGCTCAATCCCTATTACTCCTATTCATCTATTACACTTAAACATAACATCAAAGGCCGTATGAGCCAGTTGTCTAGAGCTCAATCCTTATTACACCTATTCACCTAATGAAGAGTTGAATTTCAAAGCAAAGCAGGTGGACTAATGCATTGCTCACAATTAAACCTCAAATGGTCCATCTTGCATGTAAGGGTGGGTTGGATATAAAACCATTTCTGTGCTTTAACCTAATAAATCAAACTTTCAGAATGGTGGATTTATTTATGGAAAGATGTTAAACAAGGAAAGCAAAAAATTAAATATGTAGAGCGAAAATGAAAGATATTGGAAATTTAAAATAATTCTCATCTTCGTGAACAGGGACATAATAGATTATAAGCCATGGAGTACAAATGAAGTAATCTACACACATGCACAAGGAAGTTTAATGGTGTCACCAGCCAATGATAAAACCACAGACCAATACACTCGGCCCAAAAGAATTACAAAGAGACCAAGAAACCTACAGGACTTTGTTTGATGAAGTCAATATACAGAGAATTCTAGATGACCTGGGAAATTAGTTATAACTGCCAGTAGTGCTTGTTATCTTTGCTAGATTACCTTTCTGCTACCTAAAAGTGTGGATAGCTAATGATTGGCTATGCACTTTGTTATTTATTTCTACTACGAATGAAAAGCTGGCAGAGAAAAATTATCCATTTATCAGTATTTGGTAGCCAAGCATAGTTAAATTTTTCTCTGCTATAAAACAAGGTTCTATCATTGGTCCAGCCTGCCATGGCAAACCATGGCACCCGCAATAATAACAAATTATAGTTTTAAGCAAAATTGCGAACTTACAGGACCAGTAATTCCTTTTATCAATTGCGGCGTGAGAGTGTGGAGAATAGATTGTGCAAGAGACTGTGTAGAAACTTCAGCAACAACTGTCTTCAAAGCTATGCTAGCAATGTCGCGATGCTGATCCTTCCCGTTTAGCAATTTGTCGCATAGTTTACTGGTCATTTCCACCACCCTTACCTCACTCACCTTCCTCACTAACGGTGCAAGACTGCAATTTTCAATCAAATTTGAACTAATAAATAAACTGAAGCAAAAACACTAAGGCTTTTAACATTTGTTATCTCATCTTCTTGTGGCAACCTGAATGCACTACAACATAAGACAAACACCTACAGACAAATCATTAGCAGCAATGACTTTTTAAATTATGTGATGTAATTTCAAATGTGCCCTATATTGCACGAGTAATAGTTCTAGTGCTGAACATTCAAAACCTTTATAACCGCATCATTAAATTATTCATAAATATCCTTTTAAACGTAGAAAACAAAAGGAATATTAGTACTAGTTGAAATGCTTGACATACATTACATATGAGGGGAAGTAAATGAGTGAGCAGAGAGGAAAACGTGTACCATTTGACAGCAAGTCCTGAAACATCTCCAGCTGCATCATCAAGCTGTTGTATGATGATGTTCGTCAATTTTACCTCAAGATCAGCATCGGCCTTAAACGTCGGTTTGCTTAACTCATTGAGCAAATCGGAGGTGGCCATGTATCTATAATCTTTGTCCTTCCCAGTCATCTGCTCGAAGAAATCGAGAACCATTCAACATGAATGGCTATAATGCATAAGTAAATGAACATCAGCACATGTATATGGATACCTTTTCAAGAATACCAGTCAGAGCTAAATTCGCCATGTTTCCACAGTTTGTGAGTAGCGTGAAATCTCGCTCAGCAATCTGAGATGTAGCAAAGAATCGTAGTTGATAAAAAGAAGAAGAAGAAGAAGAAGAAGAAGAAGAATAACAAAAGAGATGTGCGAAAACCTAGATTGAGAGTGAGATGTGAAGTGTGAGTTGCAGTGGAAAACCTGATAGTTTGGAATTGTAAAATAGGGTACAGCAGAAATGGTAATGGCGAGAAGAAGGGAAGCGGAACCCTAGGAAGAAAATGGATCAGAAACTGAAACCGATGCACTTCTTCTCTACTCTTCTCCGATTGCAAGTGCCTCTTCGCTCTTCATGCCACGCCACAGACTAAAACTTTCATTTCAAACCCTATTCAATTTCACTTATTTTCTAGTTTAATTAAGATTATTACTATATTTTATTACTCAATTATATTATCAATATAAATACATTTACGTAGAATATACTATTATATTAAACAAATAATATTTTAATAAATCCTAATTTTTAAATATACTAATTATATCATACAGTAGTTAAATTTGTATAAACATAAATTACTTAAATAAAATATTTCTTCTTATTTTTAACCCCTCCTAAACACGTGTAATTATTTGTTTTTAATCCTTATCAATTTTTTGTATTAATATAATGTTGTATTGTATGAATATTTAAACATAAATATTTTTTTATGTATAATACAACGCATTTACTTTTGTTGAACAAGTTTTCGATAATTTATATTTATTGTTGCAACGATTTATTTTATAAGTTTTCAATGATCATAATATTATTTTCTTATTATTAAAATTTACATAATAAAAAAATTAAATAAAAGAAAAACACTATATTATTAATATTTGATTGAGACTCTTGAATATATATTTTTCTGAAAAGTACAATATAATATAATTTGTTAAAAATCACTCAACTTAATAAAATGTTAAATATAATGGAAAAAATTAAGCATATCTTTAAAGTTTTAAGTAGATATGTCTTTTATAATATCATAATTTTAATATTTAAAGTATGTAATTAGTATATTGTACTACTGTTACAATTTTCTTTTAAAAAGTCACTAATTAAAAAAATGTTATTACCTAATAGGGGTGAAGATTTGGTTTAAAAACCGGGCCGTGGAAGTTGTTATGGTCGGAACATAAACCAAGTATTTAAACAATGGCATAAAATATAAAAAGGCAATATGGGACTTCTAACTGAACTTTTGGGTCATTGTTATTAGGTGTGGAGGTTTGGAGCTTTGAATGAAATAGAGAGAGGCATGGGAGGTGACCCACCCAAACTAAAGTTGCGGTCTTTAATGGCCGGTGGGACAGCTGCCAACCCACTACAATTCTAATTAATTTAAGTAAAAATAGTTAAATAAATGTGGTTCTTATTTTTTCATCTGCCATCTCATCTCATCTCCTTTATTTTTTAACAAAAAAAAATAATATTCAAAATCATGGTGTAAGTTCCGTAGTAACTAATAACTGATATTAATTAACGAAAGGAAAAGGAAGTAGTGTTGTGGGATATCATCGTTATTACTGAGAAGAAGTGGCTTATGGAGGTGAGCATGGCGTGCGGCGTTAGGGTTAACATGGAGAATCACTGAATGACAGATGGTGCAGGCAGGTAAATTGAAGAAGGAGAAAAGAGCAAAACTCTGACCTCATTCCATTCGCCGTTTTGTTTCCATTTCGATCATAACTATGCTCTCTCACTTCTTCTCACTCTATAAATTCAATTATTATTACAAATCGCAAAATAGAAATCTATCCATCCATCGCGTCTCAACTTCATGGCTCCGAATCCGATGAACATGAATACCAAGCCATCTGCAAATTCCAGAACAAGTAGCATAGCTGCATCAGCTTCGTCTCAGGAGATTCTGGTCCGCGAAACGCTGCGTATCAGTGCCAATTTGGCCTCCACCCCTCTCCTCCAAACGCCCTCCTCCCTCACAACCATTTGCTGCGAGGAAATCGATGGCCGTCGCTGGAAGTACGTCGCCGACACCGATGCCTCCGGTCATTTCAAGAAGAATTCCTTTCGCCCTCTCTGCTTGCACACTCCTCAGGCCCCTCTCGATGTATCTTCTCTTCTCTCTTTCCTTTCTCGATTCAACCCCATAAACCTTCCTTCCTCAATTCATTCTCTCACACTCACAATGCAGGAACTCCTCTCTTTCGTTAGATCCTATGTTGTTCCCGAAGGTTTCCCTGACAGTGTTACTCCCTCCTATGTCCCGTACATGACATGGAGGGCTCTTAAGGTATCCTTTTCCCCATCTTCCTCTACCAATACAATATCATTCATCATTTCTAACCTTTTTTCGTTCTAGCATTTTTTTGGTGGAGCAATGGGCGTTTTCACGACTCAAACCCTCTTGAGTTCAGTTGGCGTCTCCAGAAACAGGGCTACGCCTGGGGCTGTTGCCATCAACTGGATTCTTAAGGTAACAATAACAATAACAATCACTCCCAGCTTCACTCGTTACCGTTGATTTGAATATGAACATATATAATAATATACGTAGGATGGTGCTGGCCGTGTGGGCAAGATGCTTTTTGCTCGCCAAGGAAAGAAATTTGATTATGACCTCAAACAGGTAATTATTAACTTCCTTGATTCTTCTTCTGATCAACCTCATCGTACAATTTGAGCTACCCCAATTCCCACAATCTGCTGTCTCAGAGTTATTGTGTTACAGCTGCGGTTTGCAGGTGATCTTCTGATGGAGTTGGGTGCTGGAGTTGAACTGGCAACTGCTGCAGTGCCCCATCTATTTCTTCCTTTGGCTTGTGCTGCTAATGTAGTAAAGGTTTGGCAACTTCTTTGCCATGAGTGTTTCACCTATATGTGAGCTCTGCAAGCTCATTTGTTCATTTCTGCTGTCAGAATGTTGCTGCTGTAACATCAACATCAACTCGGACACCGATTTACAAAGCCTTCGCCAAAGGAGAAAACATAGGGGATGTCACTGCAAAAGGAGAATGTGTTGGCAATATTGCGGACCTGGTACGTTTCTGAACTTTGATAAATTCTAATGCTGGCATAATTTTGTTGTTAACGTTTGCAACAATTTTTGCACCCTGGGTTCACCTGGTATCGTGATCATCCTTTTCTTTGCCATCTCGTCAATGAACTTCGTTCTTGCATGTGTGCCTGGTCATTACATGATTTGAAAATCATGACTTCTGAAGTAATTGTTTTGATTTAATATATAATGACATACAAGAAAAACATACAAAAATATTGGTCCAAAATCATCTGATTGATTTTGACTATAAGAGACACATACAGCGAGGAAGCCAAGTTTTCATAGGCCAAAATTATGTTTGGTTTGGTTAATCAAGGGTAGTAGAACCGTAGAGAATGATGGATTGCAGGTCTATGGTATTTATCACAAGACAAGGACAATTTGTAGGCAAGAAGAGGGGCTGTTAAGAGTTATATTAAAGACTGTTTACTTCTTTGAACAGTGCCTTTATAATTGAAAAGTCCAGGGTTGATGGATGTTTGTGGAAAGCTGTTTACCTCTCTGAATCTCTTTTTCAATTTGCAGTTAGGAACTGGTTTGAGCATATGGATTGCCAAAAGGAATCCGTCGCTTGTGACCACATTTTCCCTCCTTTCATGTGGATATATCCTTAGCTCTTACAGAGAGGTTTGTCTTTTGTGTATGCTATGACGATGCTTATCTAGCTGTACTTTCAACCTAGAGGATGCTCTGTCTCTAATGTTTAATGCATTTATAGGTTAAATCTGTTGTTTTGCACACACTAAACTTTGCAAGATTCAGTGTGGCAGTAGAATCCTTCCTCAAGACAGGTATCATTACATTACTGTATCTGTTTAAAGTCATCAAACAGTCAATCCATGCTACTCTTATTGATCAGGCTGTTTTCTATTGTATAGTCAAATTCATTTATATTAGCACTAGATGCCTTGTTCACATTTTAACTAAATTAATCCATTTCAGGACGAGTTCCCACTTTACAGGAGGGCAATATGAATGAGAACATATTCAGTTTTCCATGGAGAGATAGGCCTGTTGTCCTTGGTATACCAATGGACTGAAAGATTTTTACCTTCAATCATGTTATCTAAAAATTAAAAATTGAACTATTTTTTTTAACTGTCATTTTAGGATCAAGAATCAAGGAAGCATTCCAAGAGCCTAGTGCATATATTGCCATTGAGCCCTTGTTTGACGTAAAGCCTTTTTGAGAGCTTGAGATTTGCCATCTCCTTCTTAAATCATCTGTTGATTGACGTTGTTATAAAATACATTCTTATGTAATTTATGTTCTCTTAAATTGGAACAGAGAGAGAGATATATTGTGACATATAACCCTTCAAAACACAAGGTTTATGCTGTGCTCAAGGATCAGGCGAAGTCAGATGACATTCTAAAAGCAGCATTCCACGTGAGATATATCTTACAAATTTGTCAGAACATATTGGGAAACATAAATAACTTTGAAAAGTACTTAAAACATAAATAACTTTGTTTTGTAGGCTCATGTGCTCTTCAGTTTGATAAATTCATTGAATGAAAGTAAGGCCTCATCTTTGAAGGAAAGGGGGGATCTTAACTCAAATGTCACACACACAGTCGCTGATATTGAGGCTTGTATGGCTGATACTTGCAAGATTGTGGCAAATTCTTATGGTCCTTTCAAGAATAAAGCTAAGGAGCAGGTAATGAAGCAAAAGTATTTATTTGTTGGTTCTGCGTCCTACATTGTTTACTGCAGTAATTTTAGGCCTCGCATTGAATGTTGTCTTTGACATGTAATTGTTGGCTGTTGCTGTTGAGGTGTTGAATTTTGGACATGTGGAATGTCTTATGTTTGTCGTATGCAGTCCTTGTCAAATGATTTCCCCCTTTCTGGGAGATGGGGTAGAAAGAGGTGCATGTTTCTGTCTCTATTTCAAAATTTGTGTTCAGGCTTCTTCTGAGTACTTGGCTTCTTGGATGATGATGCCCGGTGATGGGTGAACATACTTCAGTTGTTTTAAGTAATTCCCAGGATAGGATAATTATTATATATATATATATATATATATATATATATATATCGCGAGCTGGAACGTAAAGATATTCAAATTTGTAATGTAGTTTATTCAAATCTTCATCGGGGAGTTTATTGCTGTATTGATAAAGTAGTTATAACAAACATTGCACCTTGAACCACGTTCCATTTTTGTGAGTGGTATTTGTTGCGTTGATATTTTATTTGATTCCGTAAGTAGGGGCGTTAGGGATGCACAGTCGCAAATCTTGCTGTAAAAAATTGAAATTTGAGGGCTTATCTGCATGCTCGTGATTTTTCAGCATTTTTTCAAGTATGTTGCAAGTCATTGCAAATGCTAAGCCCATATAATCCTTTTGCAGGGTTGGACAATGTCAGAGTCACTTCTAAATCCTGGTCGAGCTAGGTTGTTTCCACCTGATAACAGATGATATTCTCATATTCTCTCCGCTGCTGGGTTGAATGCCAAAGTTCTTGGGACTGCTCTGAATGTGAAATGGTTCGGGCAATTGAAGCTTTAAAATAACTACTGTGCAAGGAAAACATACAATGCTCGTGGAGTCGTTAGCATCCTTGATCCTCACAAAAGCCAATGAACTTTTTGCGGATGTTGTGCGTGGATGGCCTTTAAGATGATGAATAATAGTTATCGCAGTGGTTAGCATGACTGCATATGACCACGTAAAATACCAATGCGCATCTCTTTCACTCGGTCGAAATATACAAATTTGTGACTATGTTCTTGCTATTTTCTTAGTTTTGTTCTTTATTCTTTTTGCAGTGGGCAATATTTTGTAGTATAAGTTTTCAATTTCAATTTTGCAGCCGAGTTCAGGAACTTGTTGCTCATATGTCACTGCAATTTCCATGTTGCATTCTTGTAGTTTTATTTGTGCAATGAGTTTGATTAAACTAGGTTCAAAGTATGTGTCTATGTGTGTTTTGTAAATTTTTTGGTTGAAGCACGAAGCATAAGGAATCATAGTGTGTTTGGATTAGAATTTGTAAGATTGAGTTTAAAGATAATATTGTATGATTTAAATTTTGCTATTTAAATTTTTCTTCTACTTCTGTCTTTCTTTCTTATTCATGAGTAGTTTTGTTCCAAGTATTTAAGGGAGTTCGAACATTAATTTTATATATATATATATATAAAGTCAATAAAATAGAAGGATATTTTATCTTGACCAGCACTTAACATAGCAACTAACTAGCTAGAAAAATAAAAGAAAACGTACAATTCATTGGATGATCCAATTTCCATGATCATGTGCTGAGGCGTGGGTGTGTGTGGTAGTGGAATTCCATTCCACTGGATCATGCATAGTCAATTTGATTTTAAACTTATCTTTCATCCACACATTCGTTCTTCGTATCAGACCAAATCAAATTTAAACGACTTTTTTTTTAGAATTTTATTTGACTTCTTCAATTTTTTTAATTTTGTTTTAGTCCCTACTTTAAGAAATTAAGAGATGATAATAAGTTTAAGAATTAAAAAATAGCTAATTTTAAGAATTAAAAAATAGCTAATTTTAAGAATTAAAAAAATTAAAACTTATTTGAATTTTATCCAATGTCAAAAACTAATGTTTTGAGGGATTAAATTGATTATTTTCTCTAATAAAATAATATAAATTGGGTACAAAAACATAAAGCCAACCAAAATCCATCCTAAACGTACCAAAATATAAATTGATACTATTAGACCTCTGTAGAGAGGGAGTTGAAAATCTTAATCTAACTCTAACCTGAGTCAAATTGAATTAATTAAGCCGTGCCAATTTTTAAAATAAAATATATATATATATATATATATATATATATATATATATATATATATATATATATATATATATATATATATATATATATATATAAAGGGTACCTCATGATGACTTTGGTGATATACAAAAGAAACTGTGATGATTTATTGATGTTAACCATTACCAATATTAAGCTTATTATACTGTTAAACCATAATTAATTGAAGTCACTAGAAAGAAATTTAGAAAAAAGGGGAAAAAAATTTGTGAAGTCGCTTTGCTTTAGGTTGCTTTTGATGCTTTCCTTTAAACCAAACAACATTCTGCATGCAATGATGTGCATCCCGATACAAATTAAAGACACCACCTTTTTTCTTTTCATGCTTTTTTATTCCATTCTTTTCCCTCTTTCATCCTATTCATCAGTGTTTAGAACAATTTTTTAACAAGGATTCATTTCAGAAGATAAAAAAAAAATTACTAGTTATTATTAATTTTAATTATTTAATAACATACATACTAAATCTTTAATTGATGTGGTTCTACAATCTTAACTAATGTCTTTAAAATACTAATTAACACGAGTCAGAAAAATTTTAACTTTTTTTCAATTTCAGTTTTTACAAAATATTATTACTATTTAAATAATAAAATATAAATGCAGAAAATTTTCATTAAAAAGATCACGCTTCTTCTTACCCAAGTGGACCCATTCTTCTTTCCCCCTTTTCAAAGCAAGGCGTGCTTGCAAGTTCTGTATGATTATTTATGGCTACAGAATCATTCATCATCGTGAAATTGAGATGTTATACTTAAAAAATAAAATAAAATATGTTCTTTTTTTCTTTTTTTCTTTTTAATTAATGTGAAAAGTGTAAAAACAGTGTGACGAAGATCTCAATTGCCTCACCACATGATAAGCACAAATGAAACAAAACAGTGTTTCCTACGCATTCACACTATGTTAACGTTCCGAAACATGTTAAATATAAACTAATCTTAAATCATATAAATTACGTGCAATGATTATGAACACAGCATGCATATAATACGTATATGCATGTTATTACACGATCACTAACTTCTTAACCATAACCATTTTTATGATATTTCAGTACTGAATAAAAAGAAAGAGTTAATGCTGATAGTTAATAATACTTAGTTTAAGTTTTGTTTGATACGAGTAATGATGAGTTTAAGTTTGAATGCGAGAAGTGGAATATTGAATAAATAGCTTCCTTCCGCCAGGCACGGCCATGACACACACACATGTACGCAGGACCAGACATAGAATCCAAGCTTTAGAGGTGAAGACAAAAATCCAACGCAAAGCTGATTTCGCATTTTTTTTTTCTTCTTTCTGATCAATGTATATTTGGTCGTACTTGTGTTTAGTGGCACAAATTAACGCTAAAAAGCTTACCATTTGGAGCAAGAAAAACATTAAAAAATTAGTGATAAACAGATACATTTTTTTACCGCTTGAAAAATGATGTCAGAAGGCCCTACATATGATGCATCACAACAGAAGCAGAATTTTGTAAGGTGAAAGAGAAAGCAGCATACAAAAGGCCTATGAAATTCTATTAATACATATCGTACCTCAGAGTCTATTCATTGCATAGATTCCATGTCCCCATGACTTGAATGCTAGCTAGGTAGGTCGAGGAGGAGAGAATTAAACACCAGTCACTCAAGAAGCCTAAAACTTCACACGCAATGCAAATGCATTTTCCTAAGCTACAGCACATGATGAGATGTAGATGGAGATATTGTGTAGTGTATATATTGGTGAGTAGCTACTCTACTAGACGGGTTTATTTGTAGGGAAAGATAAGTGAAGGAGATGATGCTTAGAGAGATGGTATAGAGGAAGTGATGAAGAAAGTCAACAAACACTTGTGGCTAGGCTAATGATTATACGTAGAGGAGAGGGGATGGAGTTTATAATACTGGTAACAATAAAGCATAAAACAAAACACAAAGCTAGACGAAAGGATGAAGGTTGATAGATAATTATAACGATGGTAATAAATTATTGTACTTTAAGCTGATGCAGTAGGGGGGTTCTTTTTGGCGAGATTGTGCTTATTGTTGTGCATCCAAACCTTGAGCACTCTTCTCTTAACCCCAATCTCTTGGCAGAACTGTTGCACCACAGACTCCTCTTGCTTCTGGATTTTCCACCCCACCTTCTCTGCAAAGTTGAGCATTTTCTCCTTCTGCTCCTGGGTGAACTTTGTCCTGAACCTTTTCTTCACTAGCTGGGAGGATCTAGGCTGCACCATTCCTCCGCCGTCTTCTTGCTCATCAGATTCTGAAGGGAGGTGACCAATGCTGTAGGGCATTATCATCTGGTGTGGCGGGACACTTCTAGAAGGAAGGATGTTACCTGTAGGGTAGCCAAGAGCCTCGGGAGGGAGGAGGTTCTTGTGAGGGCCTAGAATGAGTCTTCTTCTGTTGAAGGGGTGGTAGTCACATGAAGAGGGCTCACCCTCCACTTCCTTTCTGTGGAAGTTTCTGTGGCAATGGCAGGCTGAGCAGTTGAGTGCCTCTATGGTGCCTTCTTCTCCACTTGGCATGAACTCTCCACACCCATCAGTGGCATTCCCTCCCATGGCCGCTGCATGGTTCTTCAGGCATTCTCTGTACCTCACCACTTTCTTGTACCCATGATCCTCCTGCTGCATAGTAGGTGTGCCGTTTGAAGGTGCCGTGGAGGAGATAATGTGGTTGTGGTGTGGAGGGTCATGGTGAATCATAAGACCATGACCGTGTCCATTACCATGTCCCCCACCATACGTAGTGCTGTTTATTGGGATTGGGATTTCTCCTTCTTGACTCGAAAGCTCCATTCCTTGCTAGCTAGCTGTTTGCGTCCTTGGAGACCAAAAAAGAGAGAAGTATTTGGATGTGTATAGGGTGTAGGGTTAAAATGATTGGAATTCTAAGTTTCACCGCTCCTTCAAATCCTAGACTTGGCCTCAAACCTAATTATCAGCTGGAGAAATAATCTCTCAAAAGCTAGCTAGGAACAAATGAAAAATGTCTTGAATCAAAAGAGAGTGTGGTTATGATGAGGGTAGCAACAAAATCTAAGTTGAAGGGAATTAAAGGAGTGAGGCGGAGGTGCGGGTAAGAGTCAAAAAGTAGCTAGGTAGGAGAGAAAATTAGTGAGTGGTGTTGGAAGCAATTGAGTTGAGTAGCAGCACTATGGCACTACACCACTACCAACCTCATTATCTTCAGGTGAATTAAGAAGAGAAAGTAAGAAAGCACAGACTCATAAGTAGGGCACACAGGATATGGTCATGAGAAGACAACTTTTTAAGCAAACAAGACACTTTCCCACTCTGGGTATTTTCTAATTTCTATCTCTTGAAAAGGAGACACTCAGAGAGAGAGAGAGAGAGAGAGAGAGAGATGGGCAACAGACAAACTAACCGTCTCTATGTCTCGGCGAGAAGATAATGAATGAAGACAGCTACAAACAAACCCTGTAGCTTTCTTCTCCTTTTTTTAATTTCACCCAGCTACAGAGTCAATTGGAGGAGAAGAAGAAGAAGAGGTGGAAAATGAGATGGATCAAACACCTTGTGTTGCAGACATGGTTGGTTAGAAGGAAAGAAAAGGATGATTTAGTTTAGAGGGGAATCACAGCAAAGGAGAGTAGAATTAGAGTAATAGAAGGAAGAGAAGGTGAAGGAGAGAGAGAGAGAGAGAGAGAGAGAGAGAGAGAGAGAGAGAGAGAGAGAGAGAAGGAAAGAGTGGAGAGTTTTGGAGGTGGGTTTTGGTAGTGAAGCACTAAACAGGAGGTGCTTATAGAGGTGGTGTGGGAGGACAAAAAAGGAGAGGTCCAAAAAAAGCTGATTTTAACAGACAAAGAGGAATGCAGAGTTGAGTTTTAGGATCAGATTAGATTAGAGACTCAAAAAAAAAAAAAAAAAAAAAGTGGGGTGCTTGCTTTGGTTTGCTTTGCTTGCACTATCAGCTATCGAGTTTACGCCGTATAGAGGGGAGCAGTGTGTCAGATAGTGGTGAGGACAAAAGATGGCAGAGAGAGACAGACACACAACCTTTCTCAATTTGAATTAACTCAAACAAACCTTCTTTCAAACCTAAACTTCCCTTCTTTATTTTCATCTTATTCATAATTTAATTCAAAAACATAAACTCATTACCATTCATATCCCAATGGGAGACAAAGTTAGACATCACCATAAATATTTGCATCAAGTTCGTTAGGGAGCCATTAACTTCAAAACAACATTTTACTCTAAAGACTAGTATATTTCAGGTGAACATGCATACATGATTATTTGTTTCTTTTTTTCAACAATTCAATGCTGTTCAAATGTACACATATGTATCCATTTAAACTACCTATCTCCCTTCTCACGTGGGGTTAACTTTTTACCAGAAACTAGTAGAAACTAAACTTAAATGTGTTAGAGAAGTAGGAGGAGAAAATTGTTCAAAACTATAAATTCATCTGTACGTGCGTGTGCTTTACTTAATACTATTATTTGTTTCTTAACTATACCAGTAGAGAACGGATGAGCTAATTAATTAATTATCTTAAAAATAAAATAATGTAAAAAATAGTATTTTCCCATGTTTACTGGCCAAACAAACAAACAACATGTAGCTGTTTTCTGTTGCTATTTGTTTTGTTTCCTTTTGTTGATAATGATAACCAGCCTCTCCAATCCTTCATGATTAAAAAATGACTTAGAATGTATGTCTGGAAATTGATTCAATGGTTAAACCATGGAAAAAAAATGGTTGGTAAGGGTGATGAAGGAGAAATTTTGAGAAATAATTAAAGTTGGTGATGATAACATGCAAAAGTTAAATGCAGTACTAGGATGTGCAGAGGTGTTAAATTAGGTTTTATACTCAACTTAGAATGCTTGGCAGAGCTGTTCTTCCTTCACGCGCCAACATTACTCCTTTGGGAAATACCTTAATTAACAGTGTTTTTCTTTATGCAATCTTTGCAACATAAAAATCACAAATTGTTATTATTATTATTATTTTGTGTGTGTATTTGGTTTGCTTTGCTTGTGGTGTTGTGTCAATAAATAGTTCGCTCAACATGTCAATGATGTTCCTTTGGAATACAAAGAGCATTGAATTCCATTCAGAATTTTCACATGTGAGAGAGAAACAGACACAGAGCATGGTAAAGCATGCTTCATCTTTGGTGGTGATTATAACTAAGTTCAAATTTGGTAATGGAAAGAAGAAAGAGGTGATTATATAAGTGCAGATAAAAGAATGGAGAGATGAAAAAGGTTAGCAGAAGTGCGTCAGGGTTAGTCTGTAAAGCTGGTGTTGTTTACTACATTTCAATACATACATATATTCTACTGGGAAGTAGGAAAAGGATTCTCCTTTTCATCATATATTTTTATTTGTTATTGAATCATTCATCCAAATCACTTTATTCTTTTATTATCCTTCCCTTTATTCCACTCTCTACACCACATTTAAGGCTTTATCCATCTTTACAATTTGTTTTTATCTATGTTGTCTCTTCTTCTAGTAATTCTGCTCTGCATGGATATTACTTTTCCTTTCTTGCTTTTCTTTCCACTTTTTGTCTCAAAGACAAAATTATTCTCTACTTCTTCTTTCTCTTTTTCCAATTTGTTCTCATATATGCATCATATCATACCATTCACTTAGATACAGTTCCAGTTTATTAGATGGGGTAGTTCAAAATATTAGAAACTTATTTATGGAGTAAACTTGATTTGTTTTATGGATGAGTTAAGATGAGAAGGTATACAATTGAAATAGAAAGAGAAATGGCTATGGTGTTGGGTTGATGGGATGAAGGGTCCACATGAATAAATAGTGTTGATGACAGATGACAAAGCCTTGATCACAATTTTCAAGATGCTTCATACCCCTCCAATTTCCTTCCCTTTTTCTTTTCCAGAAACATATCTTCTCAACAACCAACACTATTTTTCCACGAACAAAAGCTTATTTCACTTCATATATTTCATTACAGTAAGTTTAAAATTTACTCTCATCTGTTTAACTTTTGTTTTAAATAACCCATCAAATTTTAAAAGAGAAACAAATTTTTGAAAGTGCTGTGAAAAGTTTCTAAATATGGGAGCTTATATTTTCTGAAAATAATCCCTACAAATCAATAAAACAATAACTTATCAGTACATCCAATTATACAAGAAAGTTTTCCCTCTGTGTCAATTTAGAAGCTGTTTCTTAAGATAAGAAAGTTAAATATAACAAGTAGAGTGATTTAACTATTAATTACATATTTATTTTGAAATTTAAAGTTTGACACTAAAACAACAAAAAGTGGGGAGAAACATTAATTAAAAGGGTAAATGTACAATGCATAACAGTTGTCTAATCCTGCAATCATCCAATTCTATCAGAGTCACCAACCAAAGATTGGTGCACGAGTGAGCACACAATAACACACCTCACCTCACCCTCGGTTATGGAATTTAATCATTTATGTTACCTTTTTTTTTAGTTTTTATTAAAAAAAAAATTGATGGTGATAGAATACATTTTAAATATACTCAGGATGGTTTTGTTGATGATTAAAAACGATTATATTAAAATTATGATCATAGAGAGAAAAGAAATTGAAGAAACCAAAAATAAATGAGAAACACTATTTTTTAAAATTAAGAAAATAGTTCAACTTGGTGGTTGAATTAGTATGATAGTCATCACAAAGGTGGGAAGTGAAAATAAGAAAAATCATAGTAAAAATTAGAGTTATTTAATTAAAAAAATAAATGAAAAATAATTTTGATATGTTGTTTGGTGGAGAAAAAGATAAGAAAAATATTTATTTAAAATTATTATATTATTCTTATGAACTTTTTTTCTCATTTTGTTCATGTATTTTTATATTTTTTTTCCTTCTATTGTTATTAGTTTATTGATATTTTTTGTCATTAATGTAAGATTTTACTTTAATTTAATTTAAGTGAAAAAGAAAAGGTGATTTAATGAAATGAAGTATGATACTTTACTAATTAAGTTAAAATGGTTATTACCTTTTAAATTTTATTTATATAGAATTATTGTCTCGTTAAAACTAAAAAAATCTTTTTTTTTTCAAATATCAATTGTTAATAGAATTTTTTTCTATAATATTTTGCAGGTAGAGTAGGGTGTTATTTGTGGATAGAGATTTTGCATATGATGATGTTTCTTATGATTATATTATTATGTTGAATTTGTTGATTAAAGTTTTTTAAGTTGAAAATTGAAGTTTAGAGTTTTTAGAGCTTTAAGAACTTGGAAATAAATAAATAAAAACTAAAAAGGGTAAAAATATTCAGTTCTTTATCAAATCAATAGTACGGACTTTAAACTACAAAATTTACATTGATAAAGTAACTTTTTGTCACCACTGTTATGTCTGTAGCAATAAAATTGAATTTAATGTTCATTTCTTCTTATTCTTTATTTGCTTTTAGATAAAGTATTTTAAGCTTATTTTTTGTAGATTTTATGATTGTCTAAATAACTTTCTGGATGAATCATGTAATTAGGATAATATAATGAAGTTTGTTTTTAGATAATAAACATAATAGAATTGTTTAAGAGTTGTGTTATATAGATGAAGAGTTTAGTATTTTGTAAGTTTGTTCATTATATTATTTTCATTTAATCGATAGTGTATAGTCTAAATAATGTTTTTACATGGTCAAATTGTTTAGAATTTATTTAATTGTTATTATATATATATATATATATATATATAAATAAATAAATAAATGTATATATATATAAATAAATAAATAAATATAGAAAACATAGTGTATATGTGATTGTAAATATTGATGATTAAGAA